AAATTCCTGAAATGATTAATATTTTTTTTTGTAGATTCTCTGAATTAATTCAGGGAATTTGTAGGATAATTGTTTTGTTTCGTTTTAATAGTTCATTAAAAAAAAGACAAAAGCCAACATAACACATCAGACGGGCGACCAACATACGCGCGAATTTGAATATTTGACAAGCATTCGTGACCACGGGTAGTAACCTCGTCATACATGTTATAGTATTCTTTTATTTATCTTTTTGAATAATACTTTGACTGTTTACAGTATATTTTTTGTAATATCCATTTGACGTGGGTCCCTTCATTGTGTTATTGTGCGATGGTAAATTTTTGTATTTTTGTCTTTCATTTTAGCATGTGTGCTTTGTCTATATGCCCCTTTGTGCTTCTTTGTTACATATTTGTTTGTTTTATAGTGGTTAAGAATATTACACAATGTTGACTGTTGTACCCCTATTTTGACATTTTTACCTATTATTTGTTTTGTTCACACATCCTTGTCAATATAAAGGAATTTTATGCGACTGTCATACACGAGAGAGGTTTAGCTAGCTATAAAACCAGATTTAATCCACCATTGTCTACATAAGAAAATGCCTGTACCAAGTCAGGAAATCTTGAACGGACCGGGCTCGATGGACATAAGTGGAGGCATTGTCATCTTGAAAAACGTAGTCATTATTGGGAAAATGACGAACAAACACTGGCCACACGTTGTTGTCAATAATGTCAATGTATTTTAAGGCATTTATGTCCCTTTCAACAACAATTATAGTTCCAACGCCTTTGTAAGTAATACATGCCCAGATAATTAAACTCTACTTACGCTGAGACGGAGGGCAAATACATTCAACCGTCAACCTTCAAATATCTTTATTCCTAATCTAAGGGCTCATAAAGAGCAGAACACTCTTCTCCGAACTTTCTCCAGACACTGACCCGAGAATCTTGCCCAATGAATACCTTGCACTCATCGCTGTATCTCAAATATTGTTAGTTGTTTTTTTTATTTAACTACTGGTATATCAGTAATTTATTTGATTCTTTTATGTTGCCGTGACAGTGCACATTTTCATATTACTTTTTAAAAGTAAATATTAAATTTCGCCCTTCACAAAGATACGGCAAAATAACAAATTCACTATATAGCTGGTGCCGGGAAAATAACCATTTTCAAACGAAATAGGCGATTTTGCCGACTTGAATCAAGACATTTTTATCAGAGCCTGCAAATTTGCTATTTTAAATTAAATAGCCACTGTCATCTTCGAAATATAATGTACCCTTAGTTCATCAACTTTCTGCTCAGACACTGGTGACGTTTTACAAAGTCTGAAGCAGCTGCAAGCTCTTGAATACCGAATGATTTTGGGAAATGAATATCCAATATGCAGGTGATGTTGACATATTGCTACTAAGGTGGGGGAAATCGATAATTTCAAAATTAAAATTGTTTCATTTGTCATAGATTCTAGTACTGAAATGACAGCTCATGTCAAATTCAAAGTATAAAAATGACGCAGGGGAATCCGTGTCTGTTTCTTTAAATTCTAATTCTTGTGGATATATTAATTGAACACAGTCAGAAAAGTTTGGCTTTTTAACAGAAAAAAAACCATCATTAATATATCTGAATGTGAAATTATTTTATCTGGCTTCTTAGGTCTTGTTTTTTACAAATGTTTGAGGGAACTCCGACTCACATGAAAATAAGAAGAGGTCGGCAAGAGAGGCGCACAGTTCGTTCCCATAGGAATGCCGACAATTTGTTGAAAAAAGTCTACCTCCAAATTCAACAAATTTTTTTTCAATAAGAAACTCAAGCATAATGATCACGTGTTCCTCTGTGTAGCATGTTTTACTTTTTTGTTCACTATTAACAAAATAGACCGTTTGGTACCCCAAAGTAATAAATAATAAGGGCTACCTTGGTCATGTCTTCAGATGGTTTGCGTAAAACATGACCAAGCCATCTCCATCTCTTTTGTATCAGCAAAGTCTCCATGTCCTTGGTTTTGGTATTCTCATGTAGGTCTTTGTTGGAGATTTTGTTAGGCCAGAATATTTTCATTATCTTCTACAGACATGTGTTATGTCAATAAGAAACTCCAGCATAATTTTTTACCTGTGATGTAATCCTGAGAGCAACTTGATTCGTACGTTTCTGTTTTAGGAAAATTTGTCATCTTGTTGGTTGTTTGTTTGTCGTTTATTGTTTTGAACATAAATTGGCAATTATACCACATCTTTTTGTTTCTCATACTGATATATAAACATTAAAAACACTACATTTATGTACAAGTAAAGTTTTGAATAAAATACAGTGAATATCCTGGAAAGAAACATTCAAAGTACAACAGTGCACAGAGATGTCTCGCCTTCTTTACAAATCATTGATATTATGCTGATCGTCCTAAATATAAAGATTTACTACAACTATCCCATAAACTTAACATTATCCAAGAAAATAAGGTCAAGGTCATATAAACCAAACAAGAAATACAGATACACCTTACAATCATTCAATACACTAAATATAGTTGACCTATTGCTTATAGTTTCTAAGAAACAGACTTAATCAAGAAAACTAAACATTGACCAATGAACCATGAAAATGAGGTAAAGGTCAGATGAACCATGCCAGGCAGACATGTACAGCTTACAATTCTTCCATACAAAAAATATAGTTGACCGACTGCTTTTAGTTAAAGAAAAACAGACCAAAACACAAAAACTTTACACTGAGCAATGAACCAAAAAAATGAGGTCAAGATCAAATAAAACCTGCAAGACTCGCATGTACATCATAAAATATTTCCATACATCAAATATAGTTGACCTATTGCATAAAGTATTAGAAAAGAAGACCAAAACTCAAAAACTTAGCTTTGACCACTGAACCTTGAAAATGAGGTCAAGGTCAGATGACACCTGCTAGCTAGACATGTACACCTTATAATCATTCCATACACCAAATATAGTAGACCTATTGCATACAGTATAAGAAAAACAGACCAAAACACAAAAACTTAACTATAACCACTGAACCATGAAAATGAGGTCAAGGTCAGATGACACCTGCCGGTTGGACATGTACACCTTACAGTCCTTCCATACACCGAAAATACTCGACCTATTGCTTATAGTATCTGAATTATGGACTTGACCACCAAAATTTAACCTTGTTCACTGATCCATGAAATGAGGTTGAGGTCAAGTGAAAACTGCCTGACGGGCATGAGGACCTTGCAAGGTACTCACATACCAAATATAGTTATCCTATTACTCATTATAAGAGAGAAATTAACATTACAAAAAATCTTATCTTTTTTTCAAGTAGTCACTGAACCATGAAAATGAGGTCAAGGGCAATGGACAAGTAACAGGCGGAAACTTCATGACATGAGGCATCTACATACAAAGTATGAAGCATTCAGGTCTTCCACCTTCTGAAATATAAAGCTTTTAAGAAGTTAGCTAACGCCGCCGCCGCCGAATCACTATCCCTATGTCGAGCTTTTTGCGACAAAGTCGCATGCTCCACAATAAAATCATAAATAAAACACACATATATATATATTTTTAGTCATATAAAAACCCACAAAAAAGTAAGTTAGATATTAAAATATTTGCATCATTCTTCTAACGTTTTTATCTTTGATCTTTAAATAAACTTATTCAAAGTCTACCATTTCAACACTGTAATTAGATCTTTGAATATTGTTTTTGTTGGTATTAGTATTGACTTTTTCATCAGTAAATTAAAAGCAAACTAAATACTATTGTTATATACATACTATATGCACATCATTGGATCTTCAATCTGTCGATACCTGTCTGTTGGCATTAATTCCACAAGATCATGTTTTCTCCATCTGTTTATGACGTCTTTACACTAAATCCATTGGATGTTGGATGTGTCCTGATTGATAATTTAGTCTTAGATGCATGATGTGTTTGATTAGTTGCTAGTGGCTTTAAACTAGCTGTCAGTAACTGTACTCTCAGATCTGTATTTAGAGTCTTTTTGCTGTTGGGTTGTACAAGTACCTGTCCATGTTCACTCTGTATTTATCTTAGATGTATTTTTATTTGTATCCATCTGATGAGATAAGCCTTTTTCAACTGAATTGTATAGTTCGTTCTTATGTTGTACTGTTACACCACTGTCACAGGTTAAGGGGATGGTTGGGATCCCGCTAACACGTTTAACACCGCTGCATTCTGTATGTATGTGCCTGTCCCAAGTCAGGAGCCTTTAATTCAGTGGTTTTTGTTTGTTGCTGTGTTACATATTTTTTTTCATTCATTGTTATGCACATAAATTAGGCCATTAGTTTTCTCGTTTGAATTGTTTTCATTTTTTAATTCAGGGTCTTTTAAAGCTGACTCTACGATAAGGGCTTTGCTCATTGTTGAAGGCTGTGTGGTGACCTATAGTTGTTAATGTTTGTGTCATTTGGTCTCTTGTGAAGAGTTGATTCATGGGCAATCACACCACATCTCCTTTTTTTTTATAAAAATAAGGAGATGTGATATGATTGCCAATAATACATCTATCCTCCAAAGTTCAAATGAAGCGGATGTAAGAAATTATAGTCAACCGAACTGCCTTAAACTGTGAGAAAAGTCCATACCCTATTGTTGTATGACTATCATACTGGTTTGTGTAATATAGTCGTTAAATTTACTGAACCATATCGTTGTCATTTTTATTGATGGCATGCAATATGAAAAGTAAACCATTATAGGTCAAAGTACAACACAGAGCCTTGGCTCACACGGAACAGCAAGCTATAAAGGGCCCCCAAAAACGACTAGTGCAAAACCATTCAAACAGGAAAACCAACAGTCTAATCTAATATGAAAAAAAAGAGAAACGAGAAACACTAATGAACCAAATGTTTACAAATCTGATAAGTTAAACCTAAATTTTGTTCAAGTTATTAAATAAGTCCACTGAACACAATTAACCAATAATATTCCTTCTTTAAGAGAAAAGAGTACTCAGTATCTATGATGCAAATTTATTGTTTCTTAACAATTGTAAGACATTATTCAAATATCACAGATTTTATTTCCATCATGCTTATTAACAAAATATTTATGAAAATAGAAAAAAAGTATAATTAACCTGAAAACTTTGACACATAATATATTTATATTATCTTAAATACATATATTCAACTGATTATTTCTCATATATACTCATGTAAATTATTCGAAACAAATTGAAAACAAACCTTTAAATTATCATTAATATTTTTGAAACATAACTTGAAATGTTTTTGAGAAGCCTTGATGAGAACCCTTTCACTCACAGAGGTATGTGTTGGTTGATTGATTGATTGTCGTTTATTAGTCCACTGACAAATATTTTTTGAATGTTCAGGACCATTAGTGATTTGGTTAAAATCATAAAAATGTGTTGTCTTTATTCTACTTTTCATCAAATTATATTAACATCGACTTTCTAAGAAGATACATATAAAAATTGGAAATAAAATTGAGAATGGAAATGGAAAATATGTCAAAGAGACAACAACCCGACCAAAGAGCAGACCACTGTACATTTGTGTCATGGTATCTATACATAAAAAATTATCATGACGGTAGTATAGTTTTCAAAACAGCAATATCTAGAAAAAAAAAGATCACAAAGTTTGACCCCTAATTCCACTGATCAAATTAACTATAATTATGCATCTCACAATCAAGTTTTAATGCCACAAATCATTCAGTCTATAATAAAAATGATATAATATAAATCTATGACAAAGTCTAATCAAAATTATTTAGTTTCACATGAATGAACATCTTTCCAGTTTAAATACAAAAATAATCCTTCAGTGTCATAACTGACATAAGTTATCTTGAAGAAATGTGAAATACATGGTTTTGATTGGTTATCCCTCACTAAATACCATATATATGCAAAATTTACATGAGTAACTAAATGTGCATAAAAACTTTGCCAGAGTCATTTGACCACGAAGTATAGACTGATCACAACAACAGATATAAGAAAAAGTGTTTCAAATAAACTATTGACAGAGATACATATCTCGTCTGTCACAAAGGTTTTTCCAAGAGTAAAAAGCAAATGATGAAATCTAAATAGCAATACTTTAATTTGTCAACCATGCAACAGTTTTCAAAGTCAATAGACCATGACTTAGGAGGCAAAATCAAATAATCTCAACTAGATGTGCCAAGGCTAATACAACGCAGCATACCAAATATCATCGACTTATCATAAGTGGTTCTCCTTAAACTGACCTTATCACACAATCTTTTAACAAATTGGTGTCTCTAACACCTTCACACTGTGAGAAACAATATAACTAAATCTCACTGTTTGAGAAAAAATATATAGAACTTTTAAAAAAAATTAATTCAGAAGAAAAGTTGTAAAAGTTCATCCATCGTTGGACTTGTCAAGTCTCTCACATATAATGGACAATGTCATTAAATTTATATACATGTGCATGGAATGAAAAGATAATAAAAATAAACACACACATTTAAGTTAAGCACCTTCATTAATCATTTGAGTTGTCCTGCTCTATTACTTCTGATATAGGATACAACTTTGAATGCTGCAAATATTCAAGGACACTTCATAACACAAATTACAAATACAGAAACAAAACATTCCAATGTAATCTCAATATAAATATAGACTTAAGTAGGCATTGATTAGAACACTTGATAATTTAATACAATAAAAATGGGTGCTGAAAACAGTTAATATAAAATAACAGGGGTTATTCCAAAAATGAATATAGCCATGGATGGAAATCCCCTTTTATTACAAAATTGGTAAAAGAGCCAAATGTTTTTTTCAAGTTGAGTCATCACAATTTTTATAACTCCACAATTTCATGTTTTTTCCAGTGAATGAAGGGCCTGTCACTGTGTAAAAATGTGAGGTATTTGAGAAAAATATATAGGATACAAGAACCCCACAAAAATAGTTCATACTGACTTAACCTTGGCAACAAGGATGACAACAGGTTATCAAACGAGGGAGATAATTATACTATGTATTTAGATATTATATCAATATTAACTTAAACTATTTTATACCAAAATGGAGGATCCAGACAGTGTATTAAATGGTTATAGCTACTATATATTTCAAAATTTATAAAATCAATACTGTTGTTTATAAATCTGGAATATATAATATATAACACATAACATAACAAACAATTTTAAACCACGAATGGTTAATAAAATTCATAATTTCTTTATATAACTAAGGCTAAATCGATAACAACTAATAATACAATATGTAGAATACTATTGGATATTGTAGACTCTCAAATCCTTACATGCTTATTACAACCAAACAAAGATCAAGTTTGAATTAAGGTGGAGTCACTTTCACTGTTCTCGAGTAATATTCCTTTATAAATTGAAAAATTGAAAATTTGCAGTTTCTGCAATCTTACTATTCATATTTATATACCACTCAAATACCAACTTTATGTGTATGTTGGTAATAAGCATTGTGTATAAGTTTCATAACATTTGGTTGAGACAAACTACAGAGAGGAAAATAATTTTGGGACAAAACGACGGAGATACGGATGTACAGACGAAAAAGGGTAAAACTTAATGCCTGTCAGCTGCAGCAGGGGCATAAAACTTGCATTGGTTACAAGGAAATCAAGTGGGAATATTAAGTTTGATCAGATATTATATATTACCATGATAAACTCTATGCCACAGGTTGCCCACAACTACTGTAAATTCAGAAATTATTGCCATGTTTTTATTATTGCGAAAAATGCGACAGGGTTATAATGGCAATAATTTAAACTCGCATTTTTAACTTATATGAATTAAACAGGATTGTTCTCAATATTGCAAAAATTAGAATCGTATTTTAGTCTAAAATGACAAAATCGCAATAATAAATGCACGCAATAATCTCTGAATTTACAGTATATAACAATTCAAATATGTCTAATAACAAAAATCTAAACATTTTGATAAGAATTACCTATTTTACACTGATTTGTTTTTAAATTGTTTATTTGTTGGGCAAAAAGATACTATTATTTCAAACTGACACAATATTATACAAAAACTTTCAATAAAGCTTAATTTCAAATAATCAACAAGATCACATTTCAATAGTAATGGCACATTTAGATCTATCACATATACTTCATCATTACACTCGCTGGTAAGTTATCACATACTCAGGATAACACTGTGCTGCATCAAAAGCAAGAAACTCACGGAAATTCCACGACCCATCAACAACAACAGAGTCATAAGATCCATGTCCTGAGGAATTATGGGAAGAATCGGTACATTTGTCTCTCTCACAAGATTTACATGGGGGGCGAGCAAATTTTTTTTCTGTTTCAGTCACAAAGATTTCTCCAAGAGCCATTCTTAACAGAATCATCTTCTTTGGCTTAGATTTGTCCCTTTCACTTTTTTTATCTACAAAATAATAGGATAAAAGATTATCCCACAAACTTTAGAATAAAGATACTATTATTTATCAAACAGAGAATACCTGACTCTATGATGTAACAATTAACAAAAATGTTATATAACCTTTACATACATGTACCATAATGAAAACTATCCAGGTAAGATAAAAGTCCCTGCTCAATTCTGTTTTACAAAAAATACATCAGTTTTTGGCATAAAATTGTCAACAACAAAAAATTCACCCCCTGCAGAGAATGCGATTTTACCATTACATACACTTATGTCCAACCCTTTACTTAACATTGGATCTGCCCCTTACCATGTAAATAGTTATGGATGTAAATAATATGTGACAGATTAGATTTAAATATATATGCATATTATAATATATACAAGTTAAATACAAAAAAGGTAATCTGAAGTTTAATATAAATAAAATATTTAATTCTATTCAGTTGTAACTATTATGCATTTTCCCTGAAAAAGGTTGTGAAAATAAAAAAAACAAAGTTCCAATGTCCCCTTCTTGCACATATTTTTTCTATCCAAGGTTCAAGAGCAAATTAACTAAAAAATACACTTTTTTTCTTTTTCTTTAAAACTGTTGATAAATATCTTGACAAATGAATGCTTCATAGTAAATTTAATGTAATTTCCAAATTTTTCCAATATAATTAATATTTCCAAGGGGCATAACACTTTTAGAAATAACTGATCAGCACTGATTTTCGTATTTGTCTAAGACATTGCTGATATAAATCTATGACATAAATTCATAAAAATCTGCATATAATGTGAGATCGTTAACAAGACCAGACAGATGGATAGAGGCCAAGTATTTCTATGTCCCCCTGTGAAGCGATGTACAGGGGACAATAACGACTTGAATTATATATACAAAATAATTTTTGCAGTGAACAATTTAAAAGAATTTATATTACATTATACCTGCATACTGATCTGCCTTTGTTGAACTTTCTGATGCATAGACAGCTGCTCCAAACATGGCCTTGTCAGTCAGTCTGATGTCAAATCCCTGTGTGGCGATTGTAGGAATTCTATCTTCCTGTGTACCATGGAACAGATAATGCTCATTTATCTCAGGATAAACATCAGTAAAAACACTTTTATCAGCTTTTACAGTCGTAAAAACTTTCCTTTTTCTAACCCCACTAGGAAGATCTCCTAACTGATCAAAAGGTGTCTCTAGTACTCCAGCTTTGTGGAATAGTTTCCCTCTCATTTGCACATACTTTTCAAAAAGTTCTGTATTTTCAATCCTTTCAACTTTGGTCACCTTAATATTCGTATAATTCAAGTCTTCCAAGCCAGCACCATCACGACCTTTCCCAACAAATTTTGGTATCCAAGTCTCTTCTACAATTTTACTGACAGCTGTCTCTATCTGTCTCGTCACTTTAGCCAGTTTATAACGTTCTCTCTTGGTCTGAGAGTTCCATTCCTTCAGGGACTTAGCTGGACCAAATATGGACCAGTAACTAGGAGGCTTGTCCTGGTAATTATACATCCACAGAAAGAAAGCTGGTGTTCCAGGAGCTGGGGATTCAGGTGGGGCAGAAGGCTCCACTGGTGGAGGTGGGGCTGACGGCATCTTTAACGTCAGACCTAAAATGATGGTTAAAATAAGTGAGTTTAGGACAAAAACATAATGATTGAAAATTGCATAATTTAGATAAAAAAGTTACCATAATTCAATTCATAAATACAACAAAGCTCACCTTTGAAAACTTTGTCTTAGTATGCCCCCTTCATATGGCCCCAAATGTTTAAGGTAACTGTCTTTACGAAATTTTTTCTCCAGTACGTGTTTCTGATGAAAGCAATTCAAGTATATAAGCTGTGAATAATGTTACATTAGGCAAATTTCCCTCATTTTTATTGCATCGAGATCACCATTCATGTCATGGATTGTTTATGTTTGCTACTTGGGATTCAATAGCACTTTACATAACTAGAAGTTGTTATAAATAGAAAACAACAGTCCTACTCTATCTACAAAAACTGTCATATATATTTCAAAATACAACTGATTCTGACAAATAGTTGAAACTTTCATTCTTCTTCGTATATGTTTTATTCCTAACATGTTAATATTATTCAACTTTTACTCAAAACATCAGATTTTGATTTTTTTATAATTAGTCATTATCATTGTCTAGCTTTCAAAGGGAGGCAATCCTTCACTTGAGACTATCAGCACCTCTATTCTTATACTAATGTGGTTCTGTATTAATCCCTCACACATCAATAAACATCAAACAAAGGTAATGAATAAATCTATTAGATTGCATTCTCACCTCTTGTGACTTGAAATTCCTTAAGCAAAGCCTATAAGAGAAAAAGAATACAGTAATACAAAGTAAAATCAAGTCTTGATACTTTAAATATGTAGTTAGGCCAAAAACAGTAAGCTTCTTAATAAAATGCATACTGTAAACAGGAAAATTTTCGCGGCAGTTTTATGTTCACTATTTTCGTGGTAAGAATTTAAACGCGAAAATAAAACGACCGCGGAAATTTCAAAGAAACTCTATTCATAAGATGAAGACCATACATGTGCGTATATGAATAGGATATGTACAGGACCACTGTATAACATCGATTTTACAGACGACAAATCTATGCCTCATATCATAACTATTTCTAAATGAAAAGCAATGTTAGAAATCATGACTTCAACTCAAGTTAACCTTATTAAAATGGAAGACATCTCAAGCAAGAGGACATTATGGACATTACGGATATTGTTATGTAAACAACACTTGTTACAAATATGTAAATGACACCTGTCAATCAGTTTTAAAAGTACTACCTCGTTGAATCTTCTACAAAGATTAAATAGATCAAAAGATAGATTAATCAGCATTAATCCGGACAGCATTTTATTTTAATTCACTCTTAGTTAGGTCTTCTTTACTGTTTATTGTGTATGTGTGTTTTTAAAGGCAAACATGACACAACTTTTAATCTCCTTTAACATTAATGAACCCAAAACAAATGATTTCTGATTGGTATTATCACTTGATTTACGATACATGTAAGATCATGTAAAGCTGTTCACATTCTAAATCATTTATGAAAATATTTATATAAGTCACATGGAAATTGCGATTTCAAAACAGCGAGAATTTAGATTGTTTTAATAAATCACAAAATAAAGACGGCGTGAAAATTTCCTGGTTTACAGTATTTTATTCAAGTTGTATGAAATTTTAAAAAGAATATGTTTTTTTTTAATCGTAAGAAAAAATTGATACATTGAAATTTAGGAGAAATTTATGTCAGTTATTTGAAATTAATGACTGACATGGTTAAGGTTGGAAATCTGCTATAGAGATAGATTTTGACCTCTCCCTTATGGAGCAACAAATATGGTAAATGCAAAGACTTTTTACAAGTATCATTCCTAACGTTGACATGTTATAAGGCTCCCCTCCCTTTTTTATTTCAAAATCCTGGATAAACATCTGTAAATGGGTATGTATAAGTATCATTAAGTAATTAATATTAAGGAAATGTCAATTAGACATAAAAAAAAAGATGCAAATGCTGCATTCTATGGGGAGAAGCAGCAAATACCAATTTTCAATTCTCTGGTTTTATCTAGCCAGGGATGGAATCATTGACCTCACGCACTTGATTCAAGCACACTTCTATGAGACCACAGAAGCAGTTAATTTAATTATACTTACATTTTCCACAACCATACAGTCTTTACTTTGGTCAAAGACAACGATGTAGATATGTTGTAACTTTGTGTCACTGTGTTTCAGATCAAACTTTCTAATACAACTCTCCATAGTTTTGGCCATGACATCAGGTGGGTACTTTAGAGCTCCTGTCCCCAGGGTGGGGAAGGCAATATACTTGGTGTCATGGCTATGTGCCTTCTCCAGACAGTTGGTGATAAAATCTGTCAGAACCTAAAACAATGCAGAACCTATGTTAAGGGTACTCTTACAAAGATTAAACAATGCTTTGTTTTTTACTTTCTGCTCTGAAGACCTTTCTGGACCATAGGATTTACAGGAGTTATAATTTCGACTGTACCATATATATGTTACAAGTCATAAATATTTATCCAGAACTGTCCCAAATAATTTTCAAAGACAGGGATATTGAAAGAAAGTATTAACCAAATCTAAATTTCATCTTTGTATGCATTAGTTTCTGCAACATCTCTGGTAAATATTTATGTTTTAAAATGTAAATTACATCAAATAAGGTCTTCAGTTTTCATTTTGGTTGATCTGAATTGTTTCCACATATAAATATCAGGATATGTGGGTATACAACAATTGAAACAGCAACCCAACAACAAAAATAACCAAAAAGACATCTAAAAGGCAAAACATACAGTTATTATCATTATAGGGATGTCTAAACAATATTTCAGGCCCTTAATTGTCCAGAGTCTATCAAAAGTGTGAATGAGTTCACACTTCCCAAATAATATCAACAAATCTGTTTTGTACAATAAAAGTGACATATACAGTCCACTGAACAAAGTAATCCAACAAATATCTACTTCATTTGAACTTTGGTAGAAAGTTGTCTCATTGGCAATCATATCACATCTTCTTATGTTTATATTAAACAGAAAGCTTATATATTATAGTAACTATCAAAGGGATATATACACTAAACAAAGTAAACAAACAGTACTGAAATATCATATTTTAGGAATAACAGTACTTAAGTTAAAGAGTTGCTGCCGTCATTGGCGATTTTAAGGTCCCAAATGCAGTTTTACTTGCACTGCATATTAGCAATTGTCAAATCCCAATTGAAGGTAGCAACTCTTCAACTGTAGTACTGTTATTCCTTTTCTACTGCATTCAAAATAGAAATTTTACATTAGAGGTTTAAATAATGTATATTTAAGATAAAATAAAATTCTGAGAAGCTTCATGAATGATTTTGGCGCATAAATATCATGGCAATACATGACATGATACAAATGAAAACTTTCAAACCAAAGTTTAAATCATGACTTTTATACTTCAGATTTGGATAAGATCACATTGAGGTAGATTATGATTTATTTTAGATTATATTGTATTCATCAAACATTTGTGATTTCCAGCAATTCAAAATTACAGCCAAAGACATGTCAATTTGATGGAAAACTTGAGACAATGAAAAAAGTTGTAACATAAAATTGCATTATAAATTACAGTAGTAATACAGATGAAAATGATCAAAGATGATTTATGTTTTATGTCCTGGATTATTTACCGACCTGTTGGATAATCTGCAGGATTTTTGTCCTGAATTATAAAGGATATTTTACCTACCTGTTGTGGATTATCTGAGGTATTTTTGTCCTGAATTATAAAGGGTATTTTACCCACCTGTTGTGAATTATCTGAGGTATTTTTGTCCTGAATTATAAAGGACATTTTACCAACCTGTTGTGGATTATCTGAGGTATTTTTGTCCTGAATTATAAAGGATATTTTACCAACCTGTTGTGGATTATCTGAGGTATTTTTGTCCTGAATTATATAAGGTATTTTACCAACCAGTTGTGGATTATCTGAGGTATTTTTGTCCTGAATTATATAAGGTATTTTACAAATCTGTTGTGGATTATCTGAGGTATTTTTGTCCTGAATTATAAAGGATATTTTACCAACATGTTGTGGATTATCTGAGGTATTTTTGTCCTGAATTATAAAGGATATTTTACCAACCTGTTGTGGACTATCTGAGGTACTTTTGTCCTGAATTATATAAGGTATTTTACTTACCTGTTGTGGATTATCTGAGGTATTTTTGTCCTGAATTATATCAGGTATTTTACCAACCTGTTGTGGATTATCTGAGGTATTTTTGTCCTGAATTATATAAGGTATTTTACGTACCTGTTGTGGATTATCTGAAGTATTTTTGTCCTGAATTATATAAGGTATTTTACAAACCTGTTGTGGATTATCTGAGGTATTTTTCCAGTCAGGTAAAGAACCAAAGTATACAAATCTACAATGAAGTTTGTATGCACGGGTAGCTGCCACTTCTCTATAGTCCACACCAGAGGGATAGTTATTATCACAAGCAGTCTGTATGTCTGGTCCTGCAGCATCTAGTACTGACTTAGACAACATTCCATACTTTAACTTTAAATCTTTGGATGCTGTTATCACCAGCACATCACACTACAAAACAATAATCATGATAATCCAACAATAAATTTTGTGAGAATCACACAATTTTGCAAGTTGTTTTAATGAGTCATGTCATTAAAGTTATTTGTCAAAGCAGCAATCAGAATACCAAAACTAAAATTTGAAACAAACTATTTCCCGTCTATATCATAGTGTTCATAGGTCCATGTAAGAAATGCTAAACTCATCATAAGTAAAGGAAACATGAGATGTAGGTTCTGAGTGACCTATCTTTTGTGAGGAGGATGTTAAATTCCCTTAAAATCCTAAAATACTTCAATATTACTGTAGGTCTAAGTGACCTATTCTTTCTGTAGCTGTAAGTTAGTTCCCCGTATATACATCTATATAAATATATATTACTTATTTAGGTCTCAGTGATCTATTTTATTGGAAGGCTCAAATAATTTGGTGTATTTGTTGGTCATTTATTCTCTGAGAACTGGATTTGAATACCAGTTTACTTCTAGAAATGGTTAAATGAAACCTAGGTAAAAGTGACCTAGTTTTTTGTGAGAAGATAAACATAAAATTCTGACACAGGTTATACTATTGAAAGGCACGTAGAATCTGAGAACTGATCTGTACTTTAAAACTGTATTTCTTTTCCTCTTGTAACATTTAATACTCACACATTTACAGAAATTTCTTACCCTTTGTTTAGTAATAGTCCCTTTCTGTATTATAACATTAATGTTACCACATTTACAGGAATGGCTGCCTCCCTGAGATATAGCACCTGTAATTGGATAGTTTATCATTGTATAAAGTTACATTGGAGAATGACTCAAACTCTCCCTTAAATATGAAATTAATGTTTCTGTATACCAAAATTTAATACTCTAGCATCACAATTCTTTAAACATTTTACTTTTAGGGTTCATTGCATTTACTTTATAATAATTTCTATGTTTCTGGACGAAAACTATTATAACATATACTCATATAATGGAAAAGAATATGCCTGTCCCAAAAACAGGAACCTTGTCTGTGATTGTCCTATTTCATATTTCAATGATTCTAGTTATTTGGAGAAATGGTGTTAATAGCAATCTTTTTATTTTCTGTTTTTTTATTTACAACTTTTAGACTCTGGACACTGACATTTTATGTAGATACTTATCTATTGTTGAAGACTGTATATCATTGCCCTCTAGATGTCTTTGTTAATCATGCTAATTGCGTCGTTGGGTTGCTGTCTCAATGACATATACCACACTTCTCTATTCATATAGAGTGTAATTCTGATTTGTAAACAAATAACACAAGCACTAGTCAGGTTCAAAGGGCTCTTCAAAAAAGTTTCTTAGAAAGAGTATTCAATCTCTCTGCCATGATCTAGGTTAATGGTTCTCCATAATTGTTTAAGAAAATAAGTATTTCTTATCTTAACTCACTTTCTTACCTGATAATTCCCTTGTTTTCCTTTCAAATGCCTGAAAATAAGATAAATTCATACACATGGTTATTGATGGATTGATCATTGCTTAATGTCTAGCCGCAAACATTACAAGATTTTCTAAGATAATACAGTTCCATCTTAAAGCACCCTTTAATAAATTCAAATAAGAAATTTCATACAAAAAAAAAAAAAAAAAAAGTAATATGGGAATTAAGTCAATTTTGTATTTAAACAGTAGATCTGATCAAAACATGTGTGGTGGACACTTAAAATGACATAATTCGTTCCAAATTGTCATGCATAAACCTACCCGAAATACAGAATTCTGTGTTCTGTGACATACTATAACAATAGATTCGATAGAAGTTGAATGAAATAACTGTTCAAAGTCCACCACTGACTGGAGCATGGTATCTGTCAATACATCATCTGGGTAGTTGAGATATCCTGATCCAAATGGAGGAAAGGCAAGGGAAGTAACTCCATACTGGTCTGCCATGGTTAAACAATTTGTCATAGCTGTTGTTATTGCCTATAAAAAATATAAACTCGATTTATACTTTGAGCAGTACTTTGTCCAGCCTTTGAACCCCTTGCTTGTGCTAAGGGTGGTAGTATCTAGCTGAAAATCTGGATGATATTTAAATTACCTGAAATAGTCTTTTAATAGAAACAAGTAAAAGCTGGTTAAGCCCCTCTATATGCATGATATAAACTACTGCTATTGTAATATCATATGGATAAGAGCAAGAACACATTAAATAAGGGAATGAAAATAAGTTAAAACATTTATAAATGGGGGGTCCAGTCCACATGGACCTGTGGATCAGAATACTTTTGATCATGACCATAAAGAAGCTTCTATCCAAATTTCATAAAATATCATGACAGTTTGACAATATTATTGATGTCTGAAAATCTTCAATCTGTATCTAAATGTTTCTCGTTTCTCGTTTTTCATATAGATTAGACCGTTGGTTTTCCCGTTTGAATGGTTTTACACTAGTAATTTTTGGGGCCCTTTATAGCTTGCTGTGCGGTGTGAGCCAAGGCTCCGTGTTGAAGACCGTACTGTGACCTATAATGGTTTACTTTTATAAATTTTGACTTGGATGCAGAGTTGTCTCATTGGCACTCATACCACATCTTCTTATATCTATATAGCTGTAAAATATGAATTAATTTCTCAATAAATTACAGAAAAATAAAAACAATATATATATTGTTTAAGGTGGTACCCAACACCTTGACTAATATTAATTTGGCTCGTTTAATTTTCATAAAATTTTGACAAAATGTTTACTTTGACCCTTTGACAAAAATATAAAAATTTCAAAAAATTTGAACCAACCACTTTATCAGAAAAATTTCATTGGTTATATAGCAGTTTGACAAACACTAATTTTGATCATTGAGAAGCTTAATATTTCCTTAACAATACAACGTAATTAAAACGTTTAGCTGATTTTTACAGAGTTATCTCCCTGTAGTGTTAGGTACCACCTTAAATTTTATTTTGGATATTATCTTCTATCCAAGTTTTATAAAATTCCATGAAGGTTTTACAAAGTTATTGATGTAAAATCAAACTTTGACCACAGCTCAACCTTATATTCATGATATTGATGACTCTGGAAAACCTAAACAGGAACGATGAAATGCTTTGTCACATTTAAGTGACGTTTTCCAAAGGGTGAGACAATTTAATCAAAGTGCTGGATAGCACTTGTGGAAAGTTTGCAAGGTAGATGTGTAATATTTCAAATAGGTTGTAAATGTGTAGATTGGGTGTTTAACTTTTTTTCTGACTTTAAAGGGGCACTAGCTACGAGATATAAAAAAATTATAAGGCCATACCAATTTGATTTTTAGTTCTTCGGACAAAAGCTCCAAAAATTATGGGGCGAGCGAGCGAAATTTTTTTGATTGTATTTATTTCTTGAAAATGAGTTTTGTTGAGGCGGGTGCTCTACAAGTGGAGCGAGCGGTATAATTTTTTTTTAAAATTGTGCGATTTAGAATATTTGTACATGTTATAACTGGGTTACTTCAAAGAAAAAGGAGGATAAACATGCTCTTATGCATATAAGTTGATGTATTTGTGCCTGTAGTACAGTCTGTACCATACCCAACTTTTTGGTTCGCTTTTGTTTAGTATAATTTTGATTATTTTTATCAAATACGCTTTGACTGCGTGAATTTTCATTTAAATTCATACATGTGTATAAATTAAGGAAGCATATCAGATACAGTTTAGCAAGAGGAATTATGTTAGTTAGGTAAATGAAATGTGTTGAATACAATTAAAATATGTGTATGTATTCCAAAAAAATGCCCATGAAAAATATTAAATATCTTTTGATATAGTTGTTTTCATTATATGGTAATGATTTTTTATTGGCTGCTTGACATCCAGTTGGAGCTATTTATCCATAATAGGATCAACAAAATGAGTGAGATGAATATTTCAACAACATCCTGAGTAAGATAATTATATTGCTATGCATGCAGATCTCAATGTATTAAAACATTTAATCCCGCTACAAATGTGTGCACCTGTCCTTAGTCAGGAATCTGATGTACAGTAGTTGTCGTCTGTTTATGTAGTATATACGTGTTTCTCTTTTTATTGTGTTTATATAGATTAGACCTCTGGTTTTCCCGTTTGAATGGTTTTACACTAGTAATTTTTGGGGCCCTTTATAGCTTGCTGTGCGGTGTGAGCCAAGGCTCCGTGTTGAAGACCGTACTGTGACCTATAATGGTTTACTTTTATAAATTTTGACTTGGATGGAGAGTTGTCTCATTGGCACTCATACCACATCTTCTTATATCTATATAGCTGTAAAATATGAATTAATTTCTCAATAAATTACAGAAAAATAAAAACAATATATATATTGTTTAAGGTGGTACCCAACACCTTGACTAATATTAATTTGGCTCGTTTAATTTTCATAAAATTTTGACAAAATGTTTACTTTGACCCTTTGACAAAAATATAAAAATTTCAAAAAATTTGAACCAACCACTTTATCAGAAAAATTTCATTGGTTATATAGCAGTTTGACAAACACTAATTTTGATCATTGAGAAGCTTAATATTTCCTTAACAATACAACGTAATTAAAACGTTTAGCTGATTTTTACAGAGTTATCTCCCTGTAGTGTTAGGTACCACCTTAAATTTTATTTTGGATATTATCTTCTATCCAAGTTTTATAAAATTCCATGAAGGTTTTACAAAGTTATTGATGTAAAATCAAACTTTGACCACAGCTCAACCTTATATTCATGATATTGATGACTCTGGAAAACCTAAACAGGAACGATGAAATGCTTTGTCACATTTAAGTGACGTTTTCCAAAGGGTGAGACAATTTAATCAAAGTGCTGGATAGCACTTCTGGAAAGTTTGCAAGGTAGATGTGTAATATTTCAAATAGGTTGTAAATGTGTAGATTGGGTGTTTAACTTTTTTTCTGACTTTAAAGGGGCACTAGCTACGAGATATAAAAAAATTATAAGGCCATACCAATTTGATTTTAGTTCTTCAGACAAAAGCTCCAAAAATTATGGGGCGAGCGAGCGAAATTTTTTTGATTGTATTTATTTCTTGAAAATGAGTTTTGTTGAGGCGGGTGCTCTACAAGTGGAGCGAGCGGTATAATTTTTTTTTTTAAATTGTGCGATTTAGAATATTTGTACATGTTATAACTGGGTTACTTCAAAGAAAAAGGAGGATAAACATGCTCTTATGCATATAAGTTGATGTATTTGTGCCTGTAGTACAGTCTGTACCATACCCAACTTTTTGGTTCGCTTTTGTTTAGTATAATTTTGATTATTTTTATCAAATACGCTTTGACTGCGTGAATTTTCATTTAAATTCATACATGTGTATATATTAAGGAAGCATATCAGATACAGTTTAGCAAGAGGAATTATGTTAGTTAGGTAAATGAAATGTGTTGAATACAATTAAAATATGTGTATGTATTCCAAAAAAATGCCCATGAAAAATATTAAATATCTTTTGATATAGTTGTTTTCATTATATGGTAATGATTTTTTATTGGCTGCTTGACATCCAGTTGGAGCTATTTATCCATAATAGGATCAACAAAATGAGTGAGATGAATATTTCAACAACATCCTGAGTAAGATAATTATATTGCTATGCATGCAGATCTCAATGTATTAAAACATTTAATCCCGCTACAAATGTTTGCACCTGTCCTTAGTCAGGAATCTGATGTACAGTAGTTGTCGTCTGTTTATGTAGTATATACGTGTTTCTCTTTTTATTGTGTTTATATAGATTAGACCTCTGGTTTTCCTGTTTGAATGGTTTTACACTAATTTTTGGGGCCCTTTATAGCTTGCTGTGCGGTGTGAGCCAAGGCTCCGTGTTGAAGACCGTACTGTGACCTATAATGGTTTACTTTTATAAATTTTGACTTGGATGGAGAGTTGTCTCATTGGCACTCATACCACATCTTCTTATATCTATATAGCTGTAAAATATGAATTAATTTCTCAATTAATTACAGAAAAATAAAAACAATATATATATTGTTTAAGGTGGTACCCAACACCTTGACTAATATTAATTTGGCTCGTTTAATTTTCATAAAATTTTGACAAAATGTTTACTTTGACCCTTTGACAAAAATATAAAAATTTCAAAAAATTTGAACCAACCACTTTATCAGAAAAATTTCATTGGTTATATAGCAGTTTGACAAACACTAATTTTGATCATTGAGAAGCTTAATATTTCCTTAACAATACAACGTAATTAAAACGTTTAGCTGATTTTTACAGAGTTATCTCCCTGTAGTGTTAGGTACCACCTTAAATTTTATTTTGGATATTATCTTCTATCCAAGTTTTATAAAATTCCATGAAGGTTTTACAAAGTTATTGATGTAAAATCAAACTTTGACCACAGCTCAACCTTATATTCATGATATTGATGACTCTGGAAAACCTAAACAGGAACGATGAAATGCTTTGTCACATTTAAGTGACGTTTTCCAAAGGGTGAGACAATTTAATCAAAGTGCTGGATAGCACTTGAGGAAAGTTTGCAAGGTAGATGTGTAATATTTCAAATAGGTTGTAAATGTGTAGATTGGGTGTTTAACTTTTTTTCTGACTTTAAAGGGGCACTAGCTACGAGATATAAAAAAATTATAAGGCCATACCAATTTGATTTTTAGTTCTTCGGACAAAAGCTCCAAAAATTATGGGGCGAGCGAGCGAAATATTTTTGATTGTATTTATTTCTTGAAAATGAGTTTTGTTGAGGCGGGTGCTCTACAAGTGGAGCGAGCGGTATAATTTTTTTTTTAAATTGTGCGATTTAGAATATTTGTACATGTTATAACTGGGTTACTTCAAAGAAAAAGGAGGATAAACATGCTCTTATGCATATAAGTTGGTGTATTTGTGCCTGTAGTACAGTCTGTACCATACCCAACTTTTTGGTTCGCTTTTGTTTAGTATAATTTTGATTATTTTTGTCAAATACGCTTTGACTGCGTGAATTTTCATTTAAATTCATACATGTGTATATATTAAGGAAGCATATCAGATACAGTTTAGCAAGAGGAATTATGTTAGTTAGGTAAATGAAATGTGTTGAATACAATTAAAATATGTGTATGTATTCCAAAAAAATGCCCATGAAAAATATTAAATATCTTTTGATATAGTTGTTTTCATTATATGGTAATGATTTTTTATTGGCTGCTTGACATCCAGTTGGAGCTATTTATCCATAATAGGATCAACAAAATGAGTGTGATGAATATTTCAACAACATCCTGAGTAAGATAATTATATTGCTATGCATGCAGATCTCAATGTATTAAAACATTTAATCCCACTACAAATGTTTGCACCTGTCCTTAGTCAGGAATCTGATGTACAGTAGTTGTCGTCTGTTTATGTAGTATATACGTGTTTCTCGTTTTATTGTGTTTATATAGATTAGACCTCTGGTTTTCCTGTTTGAATGGTTTTACACTAGTAATTTTTGGGGCCCTTTATAGCTTGCTGTTCGGTGTGAGCCAAGGCTCCGTGTTGAAGGCCGTACCTTGACCTATAATGGTTTACTTTTATAAATTGTTACTTGGATGGAGAGTTGTCTCATTGGCACTCATACCACATCTTCCTATATCTATTCCCTTAAAATACATTTAACCACATTCACATGCATTATTCTGACTTAGCAAAATACTTTTTCCTTTTGCCCCTGAAACCTGCAATGTATTTCAAACTGGAAGTGGTTGCACCAATAACACATCCCTAATTATTATTAGCATGCCAATCCCAATACCACCACTTTGGTCTCGAATGTTGGAACTCTTAAATTTTCCCTTACAAAAGAGTTCTGATTGCATGTCGATAGACTAACAAGGGGATATGGAGTTTTCATTAAAATAAGATAAATCTGTCATTTTTCAAAAATTCATGTGAATTTAATATTAATTTCATCCAAGACAGATAGCTCTAGATATCTATGTCTGTTGTAGTCCGAGATTACTCTGACGTCCAACGGCTGTTTTGCCCGACAACTGGGGCCGTGGGACAAAGACCCTCCCTCCATCTTGTTTGGCAAACAGCTGTTGGACGTAGGAGTAATCTCGGACTATGTCTGTTGAAACAATGATCGGGGATGACAATGGTTCTAACAAGTACTGATGTGATCGTGGTCATCTAACGAAAGATTTTTTTATTTTTGTCTACTAGAACAGGTAAAACGAAATGCATTTCAAATAACTGTGTGTTTAATAACTACGTGTCCTCGGCAATGATCTGACACAACTTCAGTTGGCATCCCGATTTTTGACCTTTTATTTACAATCGATTTATCACACGTGCGTTTGAATCGCTCGGAGCAATATATACACGAGAAAAAAAAATGTCAAGGATAAACTAATTTTGGAGCGGCATGCGGCCCAAAAATTGGCGGAAGCGGTAATTATTTTTTTTTTTTGAAAAGTCAATTTCTCCAAAACAGGAGCGGGAAAATCCAAAGAACTATTAATCAAATTGGTGTGGCCTAAAATATGATTTTTTTTGGTTCAATCATTAATGAAAGTGGAATAGTGAAATAATAATTTGCTTTTAGCAGCCAGTATTGTCTAATTTTTGTCAAAATAAGCAAATAAATATTGATGATGAATTATTCACTTGCAAGTGAATAATTCGACCTCATTGAATCCGTATTCATGTGAACTTCAATTTAACCCCTTAGATAGAGTTGGATAACCCATGAACTGTGTGCATGTTTGATTATTTAAAGGAAAATAATGTCAACATTGAAAGTAAACAAAGGTAATTCATTTAATTGACTGATTCGATCCTCAAAAAAATCATTCTTATACAGGTAAAAATGATGATTAACCTATATTTTTAATCTATAAATGAAATTACATACCGGTAGACCTAGAAGAATCCGATTGCACGAGTTGCGCTATCTATTTATATCTTTATTTATGTTTGTATCCCTTATATGGGCATCAGTGGTTTTCGGGAGGTCAACTCGACAGTTAATTAGATGGCGTTTAGACTAAAATACACACAAAACGAAGCTACATATTATCGACCCTATGCCCTGTGAATTGTTTACTTTAGATTTTTTATAATTTGGATAAATGTTTTACATTGTTATATAACAAATATGAGAATTTGAGTCAAATCAGTGAATCAAAGAAAAATTACTTAATACAAGAAATAATTGTAACATGATGCTTTTACGAAGTCTCCCAAACAAAGCTCCCATAATTAGTCATTCCCAGGAAGGGGGTGGGAGTGACCCCAGGGGATTCGCCTTTTATTTCATTTGATTTGTTTTATTGTCCCATACAAGAATATATATGGTTTCGGGGTTGGGATCTTGACCGTTTAAAAGTTCTCAAAACAGGATGGGGTGGGGGTGACACCCAGGGACTTCCTCTATATTTCATTTGATTTGTTTTATTGTCCCATACAAGAATATATATGGTTTACGGGTGGGGATCTCGACTGTTTACAAGTTTTCAAAAAGAAGGGGGTGGGAGTGACCCCAGGGGACTCGCCTTTTATTTCATTTGATTTGTTTTATTGTCCCGTACAAGAATATATATGGTTTCGGGGTGGGGATCTTGACCCTTTACAAGTTTTCAAAACAGGATGGGGTGGGGGTGACACCCGGGGACTCCCCCTATATTTCATTTGACTTGTTTTATTGTCCCATACAAGAATATTATGGTTTAAGGGTGGGGATCTCGACCATTTACAAGTTTTCAAAAAGAAGGGGGGTGGAGTGACTCCTGTGGACTTCCTCTATATTTCATTTGATTTGTTTTATTGTCCCATACAAGAATATATATGGTTTATGGGTGGGGATCTCGACCATTTACAAGTTCTTAAACAGGAAGCGGGTGGGAGTGACCCCAGGGGACTTGCTTTTATTTCATTTGATTTGTTTTATTGTCCCGTACAAGAATATATATGGTTTTGGGGTGGGGATCTTGACTGTTTACAAGTTCTCAAAACAGGATGGGTGGGTTACACCCAGGGACTCCCCCTATATTTCATTTGACTTGTTTTATTGTCCCATACAATAATATATATGGGTTAGGGGTGGCGATCTCAACCGTTTACAAGTTCTCAAACAGGAGGGGGGGGGGGCTGATCCAGAGGGACTCCCGCTATATTTGATTTGATTTGATTTAAGATTCTGTGATCATTACTGAAAACCGTGTGTGTCTATCAATTACTGTTTTGACATTATAGTCATTTGAAAATTAAAAAAAAAAGAATCCCATAGGGTTCTATAGTAAATCCCTCCCTTCTGTTGGCCCCTCAAAATACCCCTCAATAGACCTCAAGAAGAAAAATAATAAGAACTGAGCAAAACAATAAGTCTAAGTTTGGGAGACTTAATAGCAAGTAGTATAATTACGAATTTTGTTATAGTCCGATTTTCTGATGCCGATTATGTAATAGGCCGAGTTTATTATAGTCCGAGTTTGTTGAAGGTCGAGATGAGATACCGGGATACGTTCGATACACTCTGGCTTTACGTCTTTAATAAACATTGTAAAAATCGTAGTAAGCATAGAAAAATGTTCATTCATGAAATATTTTAAACACGGTATTTATTTTCTCTTCAACAGGAGGACAGGAGGAAACCCCAGAAACCAGGATTATAGTACTCCCGTTGATATGGATCTCACGCATGTCTGGGGAATACCGATAAAAGCATAACGTAGAAACTGCTGTCTAGTGTAGATGTGTATTGATTTTACTTTCCGCGCAGCGCAGATCCGCAAAGTAGTGTTTGTGATAGCCATTTTCAAAATGAAGTTGAATTATTTGAATTATCGATGAACATCCAGTACATTTTAATTCAAACTGTAAGCTAATCAAAATAGAAGTAACTCAAAATTTCAAAAAGCATCTTCCTAGAATTAGTTGTCAAACACCAGTACTACATTATCTAGGAGTAGAACACACATCCTAAAGTAAGATAGTCTGTCACTTCCGGTTTGAGGCCGATGCCTTAGGAAAGTTTTTGCTATAGCAAGCTATAGCAAACTTTCCAAAAAACTGGGGCTCCTAAGAGCTTGAAACACTTGCCTGATAAAAAAATCCAATTTGCTATTGAATCAATTTTTTTCTACAAACTAATTACTTTTTTAAAACATACAGCTTTTCATGTGCGTTCATGTTTAATCAAATACATATTTTCTTCTTTAGCACTAGGACCACATTAGTTTTATATACATAAGAGTAAGGATCGAAAAAGATTTATTAGCAAATCTTCCAAGGGGTCTCATACCTCCCTCCCACCCCCAACTCCTTTTCAAAACTTACATTCCCTAAAAACAAGTACTTTCATGACATTAATCCTATTTTGACTTAACCTAAAAGTCATTTATTACCTGTTTGTTGTTGTCTTCCCATTTAGGTAAGGTCACATGATACACTTTACGACATTTTAGATTTCCACCATTAGTAACAGCCACTTCATTTTCAGTTATCCCCCCTGGATAGTTCTCTTGACATTCTTTCTGAATTGCATCACCACCACTTTCTACTAAAGCCTTTGACCCACGACCTGTTTCAAGGTCAAGGTCACTGTTCACACTGTTTACAATTACATCTGCCTACAAATAAAAATTTGATAGATACAAAAATGTACTTCACGGAATAACCATCAGAGAATAGTTGAATAATTACTATTTACAAATGTTACAAAACACAAATAAAATAGAACGAAAAAAAAATAAATGTGGATAGTGTCCACATGTGGACACAGATGATGCCCCCGCTTGCATAACATATAGTTATAAAGGGACATAACTGAAGAACCGTAATTAAATAGTTACGCTACCCAAATTTGAACTTGATCTGAGTTTTGTGGTAATAAGCATTGTGTGTAAGTCTCATAACATTTGGTTGAGGCTAACTTAAGTAGAGAACAGAAACTGAAAATTAAGTAATTTTTCTATTTGTAAACACACATAACTCTAGAACGGTTGTGTATAAGTTTTATAACATTTGGTTGAGACAAACTAAATAATTCAGCAATTTTTATGTTTATAAAGGGACATAACTCAAGAATGGTAAAAGTGTCGCCACCAAATTTCGTACTTAATCTGTATTACGCAGTAATAAGCATTGTGTATAAGTTTCATAACATTTGGAAGAGGCAAACTTAAGTTAGAGAACGGAAACAAAAAATTTGTACTTGATCTTAGTTTTGTGGTAATGAATATTGTGTTTAGGTTTCATAATGTTTGGTTGGGGCAAACTTAAGTTACAGAATGGAAACTAAAAATTTTGCAATCTTTCGATTTATAAAGGGGCATAACTCAATAATGGTTACCGTAATCGGGCTTGTATAGTTCGCACTGGTACATAGTCCGCACCCCCTTCTCCCCACGAAATTTCAGGTAAAAAAACTTTTTGTAACTGTTAGAAAAGGTCTAACGTAACTCCGGTAATTTTAAATCGTGTGGTCGTTTGCAGTATTTCTTGGAAAACCCTATTTTCCATCACCAAAAAGAAGCTGAAACTGCTTGTAAATGGTTCTAAAACACTTCACGCTGGTTAAAATAAGTCTAAATCACACATAAAAACAATTTAGAAACTTGTGTATGTTAAACCGGAAGTTTGAAAAGCATGTGTAAAAGATGAAAAAACCCGGTGAGAGTCGAAATCCATACATAATAGATATCACTATAATACGACTTTGAAAGTAAAACAGTTCCGTCCTTATGTAAAACAGTGTTTAATATATCTATCACATTAATGTTTGAAGGGTCTTAGCTAATACAAAACACATTTGTCAATAGGAAACATCAAAACGGAACGAATAATAACTGATTATGTTTTGTAGTTTACACATCGTAAGCTGGTTTACGGTTGTCTTTTTTTACCTTTTTTGTACGATTTCATTCAAGCAGATACCAGTTTATATTAAGCAATGCATTGAAAAGAAACGTGAATTTTGCAATGAAGCATTTAATTTTTAAATTTATCAGTATTAATTTGATATTGAATAAAAATAACTTATTAATATGGATTGGGTAAAATTATTGGTTTGAAAAATGAAAAGAGCGCCGTCTATAATGTCAATAACAAACATGGCGGAACGTAAACAAACCACATCGCGAAATTGAAATTTTCACTCTTATTTCTTGCTTATTGTACTCTATAGTCCGCAGCCCTGCTGTCAGGGTTAATTTTGGAGAATAAAACCGCGGACTATACAAGCCTTTTAACGGTAAAGTGACACTACCCAAATTCAACTTGATCTGTGTTTTATCAGTGGAAGTCAAAATTAAACATTGCATTGTATAAAGCATTGATTGTAGTTGATTCAACTATAATCATGGACAAAGGAAGATAACTCCAATTTTAAAAATTACTTGATATTTAGAAGAAAATAAAAATTTTGCAATTTTTCCATTTATAAAGGGGCATAACTCTAGAACGGTTAAAGTGACGCCACCAAAATTCAACCTTGATCTGTGTTTTGTGGTAATAAGTAATGTGTATAAGTTTCATAAAATTTGGTTGAGGCAAACTAAAGTTAGAGAACAGAAACTGAAAATTCAGCAATTTTTCTATTTGTAAACACACATAACTCTAGAACGGTTGTGTATAAGTTTTATAACATTTGGTTGAGACAAACTAAAAAATTCAGCAATTTTTATGTTTATAAAGGGACATAACTCAAGAATGGTAAAAGTGTCGCCACCTAATTTCGTACTTAATCTGTATTATGCAGTAATAAGCATTGTGTATAAGTTTCATAACATTTGGTAGAGGCAAACTTAAGTTAGAGAACGGAAACAAAAAATTTGTACTTGATCTTAGTTTTGTGGTAATGAATATTGTGTTTAGGTTTCATAATGTTTGGTTGGGGCAAACTTAAGTTACAGAATGGAAACTAAAAATTTTGCAATCTTTTGATTTATAAAGGGGCATAACTCAATAATGGTTAAAGTGACACTACCCAAATTCAACTTGATCTATGTTTTATCAGTGGAAGTCAAAATTAAACATTGCATTGTATAAAGCATTGATTGTAGTTTATTCAACTATAATCATGGACAAAGGAAGATAACTCAAATTTTAAAAATTACTTGATATTTAGAAGAAAATAAAAATTTTGCAATTTTTCCGTTTAGGCCAAAATAAAATATATGTCTGTTTAAGGTTACATACTTTTAAAAAATAGGGTAGGTAGGTCGGTATTTCCATTTTATTTTTTGTGACTTGATTTTGAGTCATGCGGTTTTGTCTTGTAGTGGTCCGAGTTGATCACGGGCCGATTTAACCTGTTATTTTAATGATTGGATTATTTCCCTTGGTTATTGGTTGGAAAAAAATGGCGGCAAAGTGTTTATTTCATCACACGAGTCGCGAATTTCCTTAAAACAGCTGTCATATTCACGATTGTGAACATTGGGATGTATCAGGCAATTGATTTATATTATTGGCAACACTAACTTCGCTTTTGATACGAGTTCAGTTTATTTTTCACTTTACAATGGAATAAAATGACTTAGGGTTGGCACTCAAAAGTAGGGTTGGTCAGGTAACCGTAAACAGACATATATTTTTTTTTGTCCTTATAAAGGGGCATAACTTTAGAACGGTTAAAGTGACGCCACCAAAATTCAACTTTGATCTGTGTTTTGTGGTAATAAGCATTGTGTATAAGTTTCATAAAATTTGGTTGAGGCAAACTTAAGTTAGAGAACGGAAACTAAAAATTTTGCAATTGACAAGGGTAAAACTTAATGCCCCCACCGCTACAGCGGGGGAATAAAAATAACATTTGAACAGTGTAATCTTTCAAAATTCTTAAGTTACTGTAAAATTAGTAAATTATCATATATCTTGCTTTGCCTAATCTATTGCAGACGAGAAAAGATGCACAAGGTAGATAACTCTTACGTTCTCTTCAGCTATCTTTCCCTGTATTATGCTAACTTTGATGTTTCCAATCTTTACAAACTTTCTCCGTCTGGGTTTTTGATCCTCCAATAAGTCTGGTGTAGACTTTGATATAGCTGGTAATAAAAACAAATCAAAATTAAGGAGCATCAAAAAGACGTGGTATGATTGCCAATGAGAGAACTTTTAACCAAAAGCAATATTTGATTATCTAAACAACCACAAGTTATAGTATGGCCTTCAAATATGAAAAAAAAAGACTTATGCTATAGTAAGATATAAATTACCTAGTGTGTGAAACAATTCAATTTAAATGTATGAATTTATTACTCTTTCAGAAGAGTGTACTTTCTCCTACATATATATATAGGAAATCTTGGATATGCATCAATTTTCTCCTCTACAAAACTGGGTCTACACCTGTACAGAAACAGAACTACTAAAACAAAAGAAAATTTACAAAAAAATGGTTGCAATTATATTTATGGGAAGATATTCTTTTTCTCATGGTGATTGAAAATTTGATTTCTAAAGTTTATTGCTGGAGTCCTTCAAACAATTGTCAACTACAATATGGTTCCTTTGATATATATATAAAAGTCTACTCAAATTATTTTTGCAAAGAATTCCACTCAAGCCGATGCTAGAAGCAGTCTTAAACTTGCAGTGAGATGAGAGTTGTTTTGCTCTGTGTTGAAGGCCTCACTGTTACTTTGAGTTGAAGAACAGCAATAAAAGCCCTGTTCCTTTGCTTTGTGTGTGTTTTTGCTGTGCATGTACTGATTTTGTGTCATGGATGGATATCCCATATCCTTTGTTTTTTCTATTATATTAAATACATCTGTATTTCCTCATATTCAAGGGGTTTTGTTTTGTGTTAAGATACCTCCTCACAATCTTTTTCCATTCTAAAACAGCTATATACATCGGGCCTTTAGTATTCTTGTATGAATTGTTTTACATTTGTCATTTCGGGCCCTTTATAGCTTGCTGTGCGGTGTGGGTTTTTGCTCATTGTTGAAAGCTGTACGTTGACCTGTTGATTTTCTAAGGCATTTGGACTCTGGTGGAGAAAAACTAGAAATGTGAGTGAACTCCCAAAGGTTACCAACAACCAGCATGATTATTATTATATTGACATTATCAATTTGTTTACCTCCCCTTTAACATGTTGGACCAGAATTTTGATTATCTCCCCTTTATCATGTTGGACCAGGATTTTGATTATCTCCCCTTTATCATGTTGGACCAGAATTTAAATTATCTCCCCTTTATCATGTTGAACCAGAATTTTGATTAACTCCCCTTTATCATGTTGGACCAGGATTTTGATTATCTCCCCTTTATCATGTTGGACCAGAATTTTGCACATCAAGACAGAGATCTACAATTGTTGATGATCAATATCCATCTAGCAGTTTAGGAGTTGCACATGGAGAGACAGACAGATAAAAAGGATGGACAGAGTGATTCCTTTTATACCCTAAATATATGTTTCTTTGCAGGGGTATAAAAAAGAAAATAAACTGAATAAAATTCTTAGAATTAATTCTAATGACCATATTTTTTGTTTATTAGAACAAAATGAACTGTTTTAGTGAAAATGAACAAAATGCAAAATTAACAGATATATGGGATGCAAGATATCAATAAAGGGCAAAAGATCACACTGGTTGTTTGATGATTGATAGCTGAAAAAGAGGTTGTTGTAAAACAATCGTTCTATGATGAACTTATTGATTTTTCACCCACTTAAACATGTTATTATGGTTAGAATACATGTCTTTGTTACCTTTATTTATACGTAGGTTGGTGTTCTTGGCTCCCTGTGTCGGGTTTCTTGTTGGAGATTTCTCTTCCTTCTTACTAAAAACATCCCCCATTATGTATTTCTAGCTGAAATATGATAAAGCTAATTATCATGGAAATTCCATGCTCATATTTTGAAAAATCTATCATCAATTCAAGTACTTTTAACACATACTTTTACTTGCAAGACTTTTTTTGTGATAAGAGTCATATATTTGCTTTTCAGACATGGATGCAGTGGATAAAAATCTACTATAACATTTTTGGTTGCCAAACCAACCTTCTCATTTGACCTCAAATCAAGAAATAATTTTATTGTCATTTGTCAAATTTTGAAATTGCTGTTTTGATTTTAACTGTTGCTAGCTCGCAAAGAAACCCAGAAATATTAGGGTTAGGGTTAAGGTTAGGGTTAGGGTTAGGGTTAAATGCATTCTTAGCTGACCAAAATTACTCTTACTCCTAATTGTCTTCTATTTATAGTGAGGAAGCATCTATAATACCAATTTTATTTCTTTTTTATTCATTTGACCTAGCAGCTGGCAATCAAACTCAATGTATCCTGCACTCAAGATAAGCATCTGGATAAGCATTGAGAGTTGTCCCATTGGCAATCCTACCACATCTTCTTATTTTTATATTTACTTTAGGGTTTGTTGCTCGTGCTGTGTGGATGCAGTTGGATGTGTCCCTGCATGCCTGTGGTGTATGCCCATATATTTTACGGTTAGGGTTTTTTGCTTGTGAGAGAAGAGAGTTGTCCCATTGGCAATCCTACCATATCTTTTTAATTTTTATATTTACTTCAGGGTTTGTTGCTCTTGCTGTGTGGATGCAGTTGGATGTGTCCCTGCATGCCTGTGGTGTATGTCCATATATTTTACGGTTAGGGTTTTTTGCTTGTGAGAGAGGAGAGTTGTCTCATTGGTAATCCTACTACATCTTCTTATTTTTATATCTGGCACAAGTTCACCAAGGCAATCTCCACGTGGGTCTCATTGGGGTCTAAGTGTGATGCGGGATTGGCCAATTTTTTTTAAGCGTGACACGTGAAAGTCAAATAATTTAGCGTGAAAACGGTAAACGAAGTCGGGCGGGACACGGGAAATTACATGCGCTATTATGTCAACGAGAAGCAGGATACAGGATTCTGACAAAACAATAAGCGGGATCCAGGATCAGACCCCCCCAATGAGACCCCTAGAGAGATTACAATAAACATTATGTTCTGCCTTTCTCAGTGCACAATACAAAGTAATAATTCACACCCCTATGAACTATTTCTATTATAATATAAATGTGGGACAAAGACAGCAGTCTTTTGGATTGATGCTCTCTAGATGAAGACAAATTAAGGAATAACAGTACTGTAAATTGGCAATTTGATGGTCGCAAATGCAGTTTTACTGGCGACGTGTAGTGACCATAAAATCCCAATTGGGTACGGCAACTCTTCAACTACAGTACTGTTATTCCCATTCTAATGCATTACAAAAAGAAATCATACGTTAGAACTTGAAGAACATCTTTAAATTTGAAATAAAATAAAATTCCGCGAAAGTTCATGAATGATTATGGGGAATAAAAGTCATGGCTAAATGTGACGTCATCCAAATGACAACGTTCAAACTGAAGGTTATTACATTACTTCTACGATTCAAATTTGGATTAAATCACATCAAAATAGAGGTTTTGGGGTAGGTGTTAATTTATTTTGGATTATTTAAGGAATGACTGTAATATTTTTTTTTGTCTATGAAGAAATAACATAAAAAATGTGGTGCATACTGAATAACCGGCATATAAATGACAACTTACAATAACCTATGCAGGTTTGGAAGAAGTTAAATGATTATGACAATGTAATTATTGTATTTGTTTCTGGCAGAAAAGTAGGAGTTGATCTTTGTTGCACTGTCCAATGAAGAAGGTTGGATTTATAGTTGTGTATGCAAACTGCAAATACATATTTATAAGACCTTAGATAGATATAAGAAGATGTGGTATGAGTGCCAATGAGACAACTCTCCATCCAAGTCACAATTTGTAAAAGTAAACCATTATAGGTCAAAGTACTGCCTTCAACACAGAGCCTTGGCTCACACCGAACAGCAAGCTAAAAAGGGCCCCAAAAATGACTAGTGTAAAACCATTCAAACAGGAAATCCAACGGTCTAATCTTTATAAAAAAGCGAGAAACGAGAAACACTTATGAACCACATCAACAAACAACAACCACTGAACATCAGGTTCCTGACTTAGGACAGGTGCAAACAAATGCAGCGGGTTTAAACCTTTTAATAGGCGCCAACCTTCACCCTACATGTATATGACGTTTTGATCCAATTGTTGCAAAATTGTTTATCAGCAATCAAAGTCGGTTTCAAAGTTATTGTGAAACTGCATATTCCAGAAGTGTCGTGTATCAGATGTTGATACTATAAAAATCAAAGATCTGTTAGAGTAACATACAGTCTAAGACTCTTTCATCTTAAGTATTCCCTAATCCAAACTAAAAGACAACTTAAAAGAGTTGTTCCTTCTTTGTTTCATAAAAAAAGAATGGCCAACGTAGATACAAGTATCTGGTCTTAGGGAGGGATAAATCCTACTTCGTAAAAAATCACTCTGATTCAAACAAACAATTCTCTGAAACTGACACTATCAAGATGCTTGATTTCCAACATATTTGTTACGTTTGGAGGACATGTTTTTCAACAAACAATCGTCATTCCCATGGGAACCCACTGTGCCCCTCTTCTTGCCGACTTGTTCCTTTATTCATATGCGGCTGACTTCATACAGGAACTTCTTAGGAAGAAAGAAAAGAAGTTAGCAGTATCATTTAACTGTACTTTCTGCTATAATAGATGATGTTCTCTCACTAAATAATAAAAAATTTGGTGACTTTTAATAATGTTGAACGCATCTATCCCATGTATATCTCCTAGTTGATAAGATATTTCAGGGCTTGTATTTCCTGTCATGATTTCCTTGATAGGGATTGCTTCTCCCAAGGAAGCTATTAAACCAAGAGTTCCAAGTGGTGAAGTTAAAATCATCCCTTCGAAAATTCGCCATCACCAGTTGTTTGACAGTTATGGAATATCCGTTTCACAGATGATAGCGGATCGATATGTTCCAAATGTCGTAACTACAATCCCGTCCCTTTTTCCAAGAATGTGACCTACTGAATTAGACTTATTACAGGGTTTGTACTGACATGAGCAACACAACGGGAGCACCTGAAGATCACCCCCAGTTTTTGGTGGGGTTCGTGTTGCTCAGTCTTTAGTTTTCTATGTTGTGTTTTGTGAACTATTGCTTGTCTGTTTGTCTTTTTCTTTTTTAGCCATGGCATTGTCTGCTTATTTTTGACTTATGAGTAAAAAATTTGAATGTCCCTTTGGTATCTTTCGCGTTATATATCGTCTCTCTTTTGATTTACTGTCAATGACTGTAATTGAACACACTATTAATATTGACTTAAAAGGAGAAATTTGGAATGAATGAGTGACAAGCTTAAAAATGATTTACAATAAGTTACAAAAGGCCTCATCATCAATCACCATGCAACATTTCTCTCAAAACAATTTTTGTTTACATGATTAACAAATAATATAATCACAAATAATTTCAAACTTTACCAAAGGTTAAATAACAGTTAAGTTAGATTAACAAAAGTTTCTGTATTCACATTTTATCAAAACTGAAAGTCAGAGCAACATTAGCTTTACTAAAATTAGTAAATTACTTTAATTAAGTTCAACCTCTGACATCATGGATTGACCTTAAAGTGTAAAAATATAATAGTTATACTGTTACCAACTGAACAATAATTCAAAATCAATTCACAATGACAAAAACCTATACCTAATAGCTTTTCTTTTTGAAATAAAATGAGTTAAGCAGACAATCATATCACATCTTATTTGTATAGCCAAATTGAAAGTGAAACTACAAAATATAGACATTGATAGACTTGCGAAATAAGTTTGAAATGTTTCCAATAAAAACAGAAAGTAAGTAATCTTACTGGTATTCCTTCCTAATGATGTTTTTACAATTATACATCTTTCTTTTTGACGAATTTTCTTGTCGTCTTGATTTTGTTGTTTTTTGTTTGTTGAAATCGAAAGTACAATGTAAAAAGGGAAACTACTCAGTAATGACAATTATTTTCCCGCCAATTACAAATCCATTACAATAATTTTATTAACTAATCACAGTGCCCGCATTAGGGCAGAATAAGTACAGTTTCATTATGACTACAAGACAAAACATACAACGTATGTATGTATGTAAAAAAAAAAAAACTCACATGCGTTTGGGGAAGGAACCAGCCCTTTCTTTTCTTTTAGAAAATTAAATTTAATCGAACACATTTTTTTTTATTTAATGCGTACTTAGCTCTTTTCCATACAATCTTAGGGAGCTACCATTTGATTTTAATGGGGGGGGGGGGGGGGGGGGGGGGGCTAGGATGAAATTTGAAAAAAATAGGCAGGACAGGAGTTCAGATCTGAGAGAACTCGAAGATGATCCCAGATACTGAAAGCAAGTTCAAAGTCAATAACCACTTATAAAAAAAATCATGTTACTTTTTTGTTGTATCTAAGACTTGAATATCAATCAGTACATACAACATTGTGTACGAAAGATGGTATTAACTTTCCGGCAGAGAAAAAATATGATCTTGTGCCATGCAAAAACTTAGGTATCGACAGAATGTAGGAACGTGAATGTTCAATAATATTTAGTTATGCTTTGATTTATTGATAACAAAATCAATATTTTTACCAATAAAAACAATATTCAAAGATCTATAAGTATAGTGTTTAATTGGTAACCTTTTAGAATAAGTTTATTTAACGGACCGATAAGCTTAGTAATACCTGGATCGTATCTAAATCTACGGGCTCGATAAACACCATCACCATAAACATTAGGCGGTCCTATCCCGTTTGTAATAAGTTTTATTTAATGGAATTTAGTAAAGGTTTTAAGTAATTGGTGGTAACGAAATCCTTGACTTAATAATTAATCATTGATATATACATACTTGGATCACGTTCATTGAACTTCAAAAAGTCACAACAGGCATGGCCATAGCGAACGAGTTGAGGTATATAAACACCTTAAGATTGGGCCAAACATCACCGTCGAAAAAAAGGAAAATTAATAATAGGGACCCAAAAATTGTCCCTTTTGTCGTAAATTTTTGAGTAGAGTTTCTCGTGTAAAACTGAAATATCTAATATAGGAAAGGACAGTTATAGGGTTATATTTGATTAATCTAAAGTAACGTCATTTGGGTTAATTTTGTCAGAATATTTAGAGAATACGCGATTATTTAACAATTTAAAAAAATATCATCAAAATAACGGTAAACGCTGTTGAATTTATCAATTAAATGGAATGTAGACGAGTCTTTACTGAGTTAATTGGCCATACACTATGATTAATAACAACATAGGAGCAAGTCTGCTATAGGAATACCTATAACTTTATTGCAAAAACGTACATAGATATTGTCAAGGGAAAAAATATACAGTTTTAATCATCTCATCACACTCCAGTAAGTATATCTGGCATATTTACCATTTTTACTACAAAAGAAGGCTTAATATGCAGAAAATAATTTGCTTTTCAAACGACCATTTAATCAAATAGGAAAACATTTGTTTGATTAGATTGTGTGGAAGTGTGGTATAGAGAGTCGAAAAATCAAGACTGTCAACCAAATTAAAAGGACCATCTAAAGCACGTAATTTATCTAAAACATAAAACATATTTCTATATTTTTATAGGCTTTATTACAAAAGCTAGTGATAAGTTCTTTGATAGAAGTTAAGGAATAAGTTAAAAGCACAGAAAGATTAGATGTAGTACACTAACTAATACATAGAAGGGACCTTCAAATGTTTTAAAAAATCCCAGCCGGATCAAACCAAAGACTTAAATTAGTATGTGCTGCTGCTTCTCCGCTAAGCACGCTGAGTAAGTTAAAGACTTTCAGACTCTGAGTCACAATAATGTGTCCAAATAGAGCGGTATGTCTTGCTGCGGACTGTTACCTAGTGAACTATATAAAAAATAGGAGATGAGGTATGATTGCCAATAATGAGACAACTATCCACCAAAGTTCAAATGAAGTGGATGTAAGCAACTATAGGCAACTGTAAGCCTTCAACAATGAGAAAAAAACCCATACCGTGTAGTCGGCTATAAAAGGCCCCCGACATAAAAAATATAAAACAATTCAATTGAAAAAACCAACGGCCAAATTTATAACAAAACAATTTACGAAAAACAAATATGACCGACATGAACCAACGACAACCACTGAACTACATGCTCCTGACTTGGGACAGATAAACGATGTATGAAATGTCCAGATTTAATAGAAGAAAGTTCAATTTATTTAAAAAATGGAAAGCATTTCACAGTTAAACAAAACATGTCTTGTAAAAGTTCAAACGTCATTTATTCTCTCATATGTTCAAATGTATATCGGTGAGACAAAAACTTGAAGAAAAAAAACACAATTTATGGAGATCCGAGTGTGAAAAAGAAGAAATTAAATCTGTACAAATCTGGAAGCGGAAACAGAATTGGCTTGAAGAATATGAAGAAAATTTCGGTGATTTATTCGTTAATGAAGAAAACACACAGTTTAATAAAGAATATAGAAAGAAGACCTTTCCACAGAACCAAAGGAAAATAACTTACAAAGAAATTATCCCGGAACTACACATAATACTGACAATACCATTACAACCAAGTACCACATAATCCCCGCAGGAATTTCCAATCCCGAAATACACCAAAATTTCAACAACATATTTCTATACAAACAAGAAATGTGAATCAGAATAACTATAATTTGAGATTGCGAAGAAATGCTGCACCAGATAGAAGACAACAACATTTCGTTAATGATAATGGCACTACATACATAGGGAAAACGTACGGAACCTTTTTTTTTAGGACAACGCATGACGAACGACAAGGGCGGAGGGACAACAGACCGCAGTATACGGAACACAATTCTATCATCAGAAACAACGAATACCCAGGAGACGTTCCCAAAGGAAATAGTATAACAAACACGAAACAAATTCACCCTAGAATTATTAACTTGTCGCATAAAAAGTCACAATCAAGGGAAATAAATCTTTTAAAAAGAGGATTAAAATTTACACCAACACCTAATGAGGATAAAACACAACTTGGAGCCGACATTGATGAATTTGGCAGAAGATTGAGGATAAATTATATTTTTTGTGAGGATAATGAAGAAAAAGAAGATACATATTATCGAGTTCATGCATCATAAATTGTTTATTTTATACTTTTTATAATTTGCATATACGTTTTAGTATATGCCATCAATCAAATATGAGAATTTGAGTCAAATTGAAAATGAATTTGACAGCTAATGCCCCTTTAAAGGACAATGGAAAATGTTTTCTGTGAAATGTTATGATTCAAGAAAGAAGGACAGGGTTGTTTGTACCTGTAATTAATGGAAGTCTTGATGGGGGGTGGGTCTACATTTCTTTATTTTTTTTATTTTGTATGCCATTATTCTCTCAATCTAATTAAGATATATATCTCGGATTTCGCTATCCTCATGAGCATGCGAGTTAATATAGATATGAATTTTAATAAGATTGTTATACTCTTTTCTTATTTTTTTCCATTAATTTCTATTCTTCATATTTTGCCATTTTTTTCATCATTGGTTGCTGTCTCATTGAAGTGTACCCAACATCTTCTTTCATTTATCTCTTAAAGTCATTCTCTGCTCAACTAATTTTCAAACTTTCTCTCTAGAGCAGACTGTCCTCTTACTAGTAAGTCTATGAGCCTGTAATATTTGTTCCTGGACATTGAGAACTGTACATCATATATATAATGTTGTTGCGTGCTTACACTTTTCATACACATATTGCATTATCTTTTAAGGATTGAATGAACCTCAGGATTTAAAGTAGTTGTTTTGGATATTGACTTTCGTACAGGATTGTGTTCTTTTTTTATTAGAGAGTGTTGGTTAAAATCAATCATTTAAACAAGCAAGAGGCACACCTGTGCCTGTATCTCTGACCAGGGGAAAATGCCAGTTTGCTAATTTAGACTTTTATATGCACATACTATAAATACTTTTTGTGTAGCTGATCATTTTTGCAGTTGTCATATTTAAACTAGCTCTGATAGGTTTTTACACCAGCTAAAACTACAAAAAAAAAACCCGTAGTAAATCCACATTTTAGAGGTAATAACTCCAAAATGGGTTGATAAAATTTGCAGAGTAGATAGGTAATGTCGTGCTGATAATTTTTGCAGTTTACTCATCGAACCTATCTATTATTGTTTTCAAAATAACAGCAAACAAATGCGAAAAATTGCAAAAACCTGTATAATTTCATAGGCAATAACTCAAAAACAGGTTCACGGATGTTGCTGTAATTTTCAGGGTTCATAGATCTTGGCATGCACTTTTGTTGCAGTCAACTGAGCAATTGGAGAGAAGATTTAAATTTACAGAGGACAGACCAAAGTGACGGATAGGTGAGCTAAAAAGACTAAGGTTGTTGTCTAATTCAGACATACTGAATACGCCCTTTTATTCACTTTAAAAAATATTGCCATTTATACAACTTACAAATTTCTATAGCAATTCAGGACTTTGATCACATTTCATCATTTGCTCCAATGATATTTTTGGTTCAACATATGGCGCAGGATCTACCTACCTTTCTGTAGCAGCTGAAATCATCCAGGTTATGGAGGGGATCGTGTTGCATAAAGATCATCCAGGTTTTTGGTGGGGATGATGATGTATAGAGATCATCCAGGTTTTTGGAGGAGATCATGTTGCATAGACATCATCCAGGTCTTTGGTGTGGACCGTGTTGTATAGAGATCATACAGGTTATGGAGGGGATCGTGTTGCATACAGATCATCCAGGTTTTAGGTGATGATCGTGTTGTATAGAGATCATCCAGGTTTTTGGAAGAAGATCATGTTGCATAGACATCATCCAGGTTTTTGGTTGGGATCGGGTTGTATAGAGATCATCCATGTTTTTTGTGGGGATTGTGTTGTATAGCGTTCGTCCAGGTTTTAGGTGGTGATCGTGTTGTATGTAGATCATCCAGGTTTTTGGTGTGGACCGTGTTGTATAGAGATCATACAGGTTATGGAGGGGATCGTGTTGCATAAAGATCATCCAGGTTTTTGGTGGGGATCGTGCTGTATAGAGATCATCCAGGTTATAGGTGGTAATCGTGTTGTATATAAATCATCCAGGTTTTGGTGGGGATCGTGCTGTATAGAGATCATCCAGGTTATAGGTGGTAATCGTGTTGTATATAAATCATCCAGGTTTTGGTGGGGATCGTGTTGTATAGAGATCATCCAGGTTTTTTTTTGGGAATCGTGTTTTATAGCGATCGTACAGGTTTTAGGTGATGATCATGTTGTATAGAGATCATCCAGGTTTTATGTGGGGATTGTGTTGTATAGCAATCATCCAGGTTTTAGGTGGTGATCATGTTGTATAGAGATCATCCAGGTTTTAAGTGGGGATTGTGTTGTATAGCGATCATCCGGGTTTTAGGTGGTGATCGTGGTTGTATAGATATTCATCCAGGTTTTTGGAGATCTTTTTGTATAGAAATTATGCAGGTTTTTTGTGCGGCCGTGGTTCGTGTTGTATTGAGATCATCCAGGTTTTGGGTGGGGATTGTGTTGCGTAGACATCATCCAGCTTTTTGATGGGGATCGTTTTGTATAGAGATCATCCAGGTTTTAGGTGGGGATCTTGTTGTATAGAGATCATCCAGCTTTTTGGTGGGGGATCCTGTACATGTTGTATAGAGTTAATCCAGTTTTTTTTTTGTTGGGATCGTGTTGTATAGAGATCATCCAGGTTTTAGGTGGGGGCCGTGTTGTATAGGGATCATCCTGGTTTCTGGTGGGTATCGCGTTGTTGTATAGAGATCATCCAGGTTTTAGGTGGGGATCGTGTTGTATAGAGATCAGCCAGGTTTTTGGTGGGGATCGTGTTGTAAAGAGATCATCCAGGTTTTTTTTGGTGGGATCGTGTTGTATAGAGATTATCCAGGTTTTAGGTTGGGACCGTGTTGTATAGAGATCATCCAGGTTTTAGGTGAATATTGTGTTGTATAGATCTTCCAGGTTTTGGTTGGGGATCCTGTACATGTTGTATAGAGATCATCCAGGTTTTTGGTGGGGATCGTGTTGTATAGAGATCATCCAGGTTTTTGATTGGGGATCCTGTACATGTTGTATAGAGATCATCCAGGTTTTTGCTGGGGATCGTGTTGTATAGAGATCATCCATGTTTTTGGTGGGGATCGTGTTGTATAGAGATCATCCATGTTTTTGGTGGGGATCGTGTTGTATAGAGATCATCCATGTTTTTGGTGGGGATCGTGTTGTATAGAGATCATCCAGGTTTTTAGTTAGGGATCCTGTACATGTTGTATAGAGATCATCCAGGTTTTTGGTTGGGATCCTGTACATGTTGTATAGAGATCATCCAGGTTTTTGGTTGGGATCCTGTACATGTTGTATAGAGATAATCCAGGTTTTTGGTGGGGATCGTGTTGTGTAGTCTTAAGCTTTTTATGCAGTGTTTTAATTTGTAGACATATTTGTTTTTTCTTTGGACATCTGTTTTCAGTGTTGTTGTCAGTTACAGCAGAACAATTAATTGTGATAAAAGTTAATCAACCAGTACTCTAGACATTTTATTTGAATAAATAACATTTAATGTAACAGTTTAATAAATGCATATCACAGAAAAAGGGTATTCAATACAAACAAATTTACATACTGCAGTACAATATGTTTACATTATTTGTTACATCTTAAGTTATTAACAATTTTCATTCTTTTGAAATACAACAACAAATATGTTATTAATAAATGGTGAAACCTGTCAAAGATAACCCAATGTATACCTGTCCAAACAAGACGCATATATCTCAGGGCAAAGAATGAATATTTAACTCAAGTAATCAGAACACCTGTCTAATTATGGCAAAAGTTCCACAGGGGTCTGGTTTACACAGGTTTCACTGTTTATAAATATTCATTCAATTCTTGATTTCTACTTGTGGTAATTATGGTAATATCTGAAAAAAAGCCAACAATGTTGGACAACACTAAGTATGACAATTTAGATCCAAACATTTAACTATAATATATGATTCATATATAATCCCAAATTTGCTTGTCAGAGAAAATTGGAATTCTACTGAAGTAACATGTTACAGTTGGAAATTTTTCTTTACATCTTCAAGTGAGTAAGTTAAAAATTTATTTTGATTCGACATATTGACAAACAATTGATACGTAAACTCTGATGAGCTTTTCACAGAGTTCAGGAGAATTACAGAGTTTTCAGGGAAATTATAGATTCTATAAATTCTTCAACAAAATATTTATCACAGAAAGAAAGGTGGGTTGGATCAAAATGTGGATTTCTGTACTTTTGGATGACTCAATGTACCCGACAGTTGCTGAGTATTCTTAGCAGTAAATAGTGATATCTATGTTTAGTTATATCCATGTGTCATTTTCATTGTGAAATAAAACGGGCTAAGCTATTTGAGAAATTTTGTACCTTAATAACTCAAGGAAAATATATCAAGATTCTATAAATTCTGCAACAAAATATTTATTATCACAGAAGTAAGGTCGGTGGGATCAAACTATAGTTTACTTACATTTTGGATGATTCAAAGCATCTGAAAGGGGCTGAGTATTCTCAATGCAATAGCTACATTGATTGAATGATTGGTGTTTGCTTTAAGCCACCTTCAGCACAAAAAGGCTATTATATCGCGTCGATAAAAAGCTACATGTATATCTATGTGTCATATACAGGGTATAACACAATCTAAGAAATGGTCGATTTTTTTAAAATCATTCATTTGAATTGTACAATCATTGGTTCCATGTCACTCTGTCTTGGTCAACAAAATAGTTCTCAATGAAAAAAGTTAAAATCAAACATCAAAAGCTCATTAGTCATGTTAATAATATATAAATTCTAATATTATGTAGTTTTGACAATGATTCTTTGAAATAACTTCCTAATATTATATAACAAACATGATTATTAAAATACAGTGTAACCTGTCTTAAAGAAACATGTCTGTACAGAAATTTGTGAACAACAGAAGCCTGTCTAAAGTGGATTCATATAAGAAGAAATTCAATGAATATTCATCAATTATTTCATCTGAGTAAATTGAACACCTGTCAAAATCTTCTGTGCAAAAGGAATTCAGCTCAGAAAGGTTCGACTATATTAAATTTATTTCTCATTGCTTCAGCATCTTCCTCAAGCTGCAATGGAACTTGGTTTTATTATGCCTTTGTCAATAGTTATTTGATTGTCTTTACATTTTCACTGATATATGTTTTCATGGCTTCTTAGTTTGTGTGTTAACTCTAGAGTCTGTTGGTTTAGTTTTCCTTCCTTCATTTATGTCCATTATCAGGGCCTTGCCTGTTTCTTTAGCAGTCCTCTTTGCCACCGCCTTGATTCCTAAATTGTCCACGTTATTAACAGTCAACACAGTGTTACCAACAGCGTACATTCCATGCTCCGCTAATAATCCTGCCTGACTGCCATATCTTAAATCACAAAATAAAATATAGACTAGGAAAAGAGAAGACACACATTGAAGAAATCTAAGTTTAAGATATGAATGAATTGAGTTGTGACTTCAATCCAACACAACAATCAAACAAATAAGACATGTAGATGTCAACATTTGACCTGTAACAATTGGCAAGCATTGATGTTTCTTAAGAAAATGCCTGTACCAGGTCAGGAATATGACAGTTGTTATCCACATGTTCTGTTTGGTTAATAACGTTTAATTTTGTCAGTTTTTATGGACTTCCCCGTTTTAAATTTTACTTGGAGTACGGTATTTTTGTTATACTTTTTTCCACGTCAAGCTGGAAATCAAAGCCTTAAGTCAAAATTTATTAAACAAAGACTATAATATACATGTAGATGAGATGCCTTCACCACCTAAAATACTTACAGATAAAGCTCCTACTTTTTGTATCAATTCTTTGTGAAAATCTGATATTATAAAGAACTCTTTACAAACACCACAGTATAACTTACTTGTAATCCACCAGAGTCACTGTTTCATTGGTGAGGTTTCTACCGAGGGCCTTGGCTGCTGCTTCTAAAGTTAGGTACACTGCACTGAAACCTACATAATAAATACTGCACTGAAACCTACATCATAAACACTGCACTGAAACCTAAATAATAAACACTGCACTGAAACCTAAATAATAAACACTGCACTGAAACCTAAATAATAAACACTGCATTGAAACCTAAATAATAAGCATTAAGATTATCAGGGTCCCTGTTAGGTACACTGCACTGAAACCTAAATAATAAACATTAAGATTATCTGGGTCCCTGTTAGGTACACTGCACTGAAACCTAAATAATAAACATTAAGATTATCTGGGTCCCTGTTAGGTACACTGTGCTGAAACCTAAATAATAAACATTAAGATTATCTGGGTCCCTGTTAGGTACACTGTACTGAAACCTAAATAATAAACATTAAGATTATCTGGGTCCCTGTTAGGTACACTGTACTGAAACCTAAATAATAAACATTAAGATTATCTAGGTCCCTGTTAGGTACACTGTACTGAAACCTAAATAATAAACATTAAGATTATCTGGGTCCCTGTTAGGTACACTGTACTGAAACCTAAATAATAAACATTAAGATTATCTGGGTCCCTGTTAGGTACACTGTACTGAAACCTAAATAATAAACATTAAGATTATCTAGGTCCCTGTTAGGTACACTGTACTGAAACCTATATTAAAAACATTAAGATTATCTGGTCCCTATTAGTTGACCTAGACTGAAACCTACATTATAAATATATCAAAGTTTATATGGTTCCCTGTTAGATACACTGTACTGAAACTTACAAAATAAACATTAGTTGTATTTCATGTACACTATTACAGAAAGGTTTTCTGGTTCCCTGTTAGATAATCTGTACTGAAATCTACCTAATAAATATAACAAAGTGTAAATGGTTCTGAACAATACAGTCAGATAAAAACCCCTTGTTCACATGTAACTCCCAACAAATCTATCTGAATCCATGTATTAGATACTCACAGCATATTTCACAAATAGTAACTTTCAAGAACTGCTTACCCTGCCAGAGCACCTGAGTTCACCCCCAGTTTTTAGTGGGGTTTGTTTCTCAAATTTTAAATTTCAGTGTTTTGTTTTGCGGATTTGTTTGTCTTTTTTTATTTAGTCTTTTTTTCCATGGCGTTTTTCTTCCACTTATGAGTTTTGAATGTCGACTTGGTATCTTTCACCTCTTTTTTTTCAGACTTAAATTGAGGTTTCAAATTGTTCTCCCAAGTACAATCTATACTTAACCTGAAATGGGTCAATAACCCTAATGCGCCTCAAATTGAGGAACTCAAAAGTTGTGTGTAAACAAAAAAATCTCTGTGTTGTGATATTGGACATGTTTCTATTTTTAACAAGTAACCAGTAACTGAGCTTAACCATTTTTGTTGATTTGGAAAGAAGAGGACCATAGAATATATGTCTAAAAACTATGGAGTTATTAAATGTATTTAAAGTATTAAATTTTCAAACAACTTATTGTGTGAAAAAAAAAAGATTTTTTTTTACCACGAGGAGCCGCATCATGAAAGGATTTTCGAGGTATGCTAATTTACGGAAAAAGAATCTCTTCTTACCCCAAAAATGTAACCACATATGTGAAAATGTCTTAGCTTCGAAACAAGCCATCATACATATCCAAGTTTACATGTTAGTTGACTGAGCTACAGAAGAAAACATTACCATTACCACCTATGGGAAATCATTTGCCCATATTGACCCAGATATCAACCTCAATATTTACCTTTGAGACCTGCCCCAGCTTAACTTTAGATACAAACAATAATTACCTATGAGGCTTGCCCCAGCGACATCAAGAACACCATCTACTTTAGATTTTCCATCTGGAGATTTTCCCTTGACGGACTCAGGAAGTAGTTTTTCACCATGTTTCTTTATGTGTGGTGCTATCTCCCTCCCTACTGCCATTGTAGCTTCTCCAAGCTTCTTCACTGAAACAGAATTAATTGAATCATTTATACAGTAGACCTCTTTTTAAGGCAGTTCAGACAAAAAATAAAAGAAGAATATGTCTGTATAAGGACATGAATTCCACTGATCAAGCTTTGAAATTTTCTAAGTTATAAAGGAGCATAACTCTAGAAAGGAAGGCAACTCACTGCCAAGATTGGAACTCTGTCTGTATGTTGTGGTTCTTAGCATTGTGTACGAGTTTCATAAAATTTGCATGAGGCAAACTTAAGTTAGAGTGGAGAAACGAAACTTGGACGGACAGACAGAAACACTGTCAGAAGGTCAAGGATAACACTAAATGCCCTCATCAACTATGATGGGGGCATAAAAAACCCAAAGCAACATCATTTTACAATTAATGGTGTTCAAACATCACAAATGCCCTTCATGGCCTCTACCACTGAAACCCTTATCATTTAATGTTCATCAGATGATGTATCGCTTATAACAAAACATTTTATTCTGAAGGTGTCTATAAAGCTTAAGATTTAAATTTGTCAATTTTTGTTCCTAAATTTTATCACTTTGATATAGATATCATCTCTTTTAGCATGTTTAGAAATATGATTTAACCTTCATGTATTTCATATTTTTCCAATATTAATGTCAGATTCATTTGGTATTCCAGCACTGCCAGGGTTTTTTGCAGATTTTTAGCTAAAATAACTTTGATCTTCTCTTGGCAAATGTACATATACATACCCACATAAGAATTGACTTTGACAGCAGTGTGTGTCCCCCTCCTAACATACTGGTATACATACCCACATAAGAACTGACTTTGACAGCAGTGTGTGTGCCCCTCCTAACATACTGGTATACATACCCACATAAGAACTGACTTTGACAGCAGTGTGTGTGCCCCTCCTAACATACTGGTATACATACCCACATAAGAACTGACTTTGACTGCAGTGTGTGTCCCCCTCCTTACATACTGGTATACATACCCACATAAGAACTGACTTTGACAGCAGTGTGTGTCTCCCTCCTAACATACTGGTATACATACCCACATAAGAACTGACTTTGACAGCAGTGTGTGCCCCTCCTAACATACTGGTATACATACCCACATAAGAACTGACCTTGACAGCAGTGTGTGTCCCCCTCCTAACATACTGGTATACATACCCACATAAGAACTGACTTTGACAGCAGTGTGTGTCCCCCTCCTAACATACTGGTATACATACCCACATAAGAACTGACTTTGACAGCAGTGTGTGTGCCCCTCCTAACATACTGGTATACATACCCACATAAGAACTGACTTTGACAGCAGTGTGTGCCCCTCCTAACATAATGGTATACATACCCACATAAGAACTGACCTTGACAGCAGTGTGTGTCCCCCTCCTAACATACTGGTATACATACCCACATAAGAACTGACTTTGACAGCAGTGTGTGTCTCCCTCCTAACATACTGGTATACATACCCACATAAGAACTGACTTTGACAGCAGTGTGTGCCCCTCCTAACATAATGGTATACATACCCACATAAGAACTGACTTTGACAGCAGTGTGTGTGCCCCTCCTTACATACTGGTATACATACCCACATAAGAACTGACTTTGACTGCAGTGTGTGTCCCCCTCCTAACATACTGGTATACATACCCACATAAGAACTGACTTTGACTGCAGTGTGTGTCCCCCTCCTTACATACTGGTATACATACCCACATAAGAACTGACTTTGACAGCAGTGTGTGCCCCTCCTAACATAATGGTATACATACCCACATAAGAACTGACTTTGACAGCAGTGTGTGTGCCCCTCCTTACATACTGGTATACATACCCACATAAGAACTGACTTTGACAGCAGTGTATGTGCCCCTCCTTACATACTGGTATACATACCCACATAAGAACTGACTTTGACTGCAGTGTGTGTCCCCCTCCTAACATACTGGTATACATACCCACATAAGAACTGACTTTGACTGCAGTGTGTGTCCCCCTCCTTACATACTGGTATACATACCCACATAAGAACTGACTTTGACTGCAGTGTGTGTCCCCCTCCTTACATACTGGTATACATACCCACATAAGAACTGACTTTGACAGCCGTGTGTGTCCCCCTCCTAACATACTGGTATACATACCCACATAAGAACTGACTTTGACTGCAGTGTGTGTCCCCCTCCTAACATACTGGTATACATACCCACATAAGAACTGACTTTGACAGCAGTGTGTGTCCCCCTCCTTACATACTGGTATACATACCCACATAAGAACTGACTTTGACAGCAGTGTGTGCCCCTCCTAACATACTGGTATACATACCCACATAAGAACTGACTTTGACTGCAGTGTGTGTCCCCCTCCTAACATACTGGTATACATACCCACATAAGAACTGACTTTGACAGCAGTGTGTGTCCCCCTCCTTACATACTGGTATACATACCCACATAAGAACTGACTTTGACAGCAGTGTGTGCCCCTCCTAACATACTGGTATACATACCCACATAAGAACTGACTTTGACAGCAGTGTGTGCCCCTCCTAACATAATGGTATACATACCCACATAAGAACTGACCTTGACAGCAGTGTGTGTCCCCCTCCTAACATACTGGTATACATACCCACATAAGAACTGACTTTGACAGCAGTGTGTGTCTCCCTCCTAACATACTGGTATACATACCCACATAAGAACTGACTTTGACAGTGTGTGTGCCCTCCTAACATACTGGTATACATACCCACATAAGAACTGACTTTGACAGCAGTGTGTGTGCTCTTCCTTACATACTGGTATACATACCCACAACATACCCACATAAGAACTGACTTTGACAGCAGTGTGTGTGCTCTTCCTTACATACTGGTATACATACCCACATAAGAACTGACTTTGACAGCAGTGTGTGTCCCCCTCCTTACATACTGGTATACATACCCACATAAGAACTGACTTTGACAGCAGTGTGTGTCCCCCTCCTAACATACTGGTATACATACCCACATAAGAACTGACTTTGACAGCAGTGTGTGTCTCCCTCCTTACATACTGGTATACATACCCACATAAGAACTGACTATGACAGCAGTGTGTGTCCCCCTCCTAACATACTGGTATACATACCCACATAAGAACTGACTTTGACAGCAGTGTGTGTCCCCCTCCTAACATACTGGTATACATACCCACATAAGATCTGACTTTGACAGCAGTGTGTGTGCCCCTCCTTACATACTGGTATACATACCCACATAAGAACTGACTTTGACAGCAGTGTGTGTCTCCCTCCTTACATACTGGTATACATACCCACATAAGAACTGACTTTGACAGCAGTGTGTGTCTCCCTCCTTACATACTGGTATACATACCCACATAAGAACTGACTTTGACAGCAGTGTGTGTCTCCCTCCTTACATACTGGTATACATACCCACATAAGAACTGACTTTGACAGCAGTGTGTGTCCCCCTCCTAACATACTGGTATACATACCCACATAAGAACTGACTTTGACAGCAGTGTGTGTGCCCCTCCTTACATACTGGTATACATACCCACATAAGAACTGACTTTGACAGCAGTGTGTGTGCCCCTCCTAACATACTGGACTCCTTGTATAACCCTAGGATCAATGTCTTTAGCTTTTTCCTCAGGTTTTAGTTTCTCTTTGATTTTCTCAGATCCAACTTTTATATAATGGCCAGCTTTTTCTGCTCCTTTTTCAATACCCCATGTTATCCAACTTGATGCTGAAACAAATACAATAACACTTGTCTACAGACTGACGAAACTACTTAATAATTGTCTCTATAAACAATGGATAAGCGATGGTGCATTAAAAAGATACCACCAACCAAAAGATAACAAAAAGTGAAATTTAAGTTTTTAAATTAATTCCATTAGTGAATTCAGTAAAAAGATATCAGAAAATTAGCTAATTTAAACTTAAGGAAATTAAACGCACTAAGGAAACAATTGAATATAATTTTGTGAGTCCATTTCAGCGACAGATTTAGGAGGCATTGATTCTAGAAAAAGAAACCAAGGTTATTGAAAAAGCTGAGGTCATAGCAATGATTTAAATTTCCTTAATGGTCTGGAATTAACTCACCATGTGGGTAAATTCTTATATTTCAAACTCTATAAAAATAACATTGTACTGTCAAAACCTCTAAATATTTGGGAAATTGTTCCTACTGAAACGTGTATAACTGGCGATCAATGGATCCGTATCTGAATAAATCAGGATTTCAAGTGTTAAACTCAATTTTGCACCAACAACAAGTTGTCCTATTTAAAACAATTAACACACCCTTAAATGAATTCACAATGTCAACTATATAGGCTACACAATGCACATAAATCAAAATGCAAGGTGAAGTACCTCATTCACAATGCATAAACACAATGTCTTATAACAGAAAATATATACACAATGTCACTATGCAATCACTATGCAACATGTATGAGGCCTGATTATTCACAATGTCACTAATATATCACTATGCAACATGCATCAGACACTTTATTACACAATGTCACTAACAGATTACTATGCAACATGCATCAGACACTTTATTACACAATGTCACCAACGGATTACTATGCAACATGCATCAGATAAATATCACACAATACGTATGAACACATTAGCACATATATACAACATCTATTAACAATATCCACCAATTTGTAATATCATCTTATGAATGTTCAATTAACCACAATAACACAATGACACAATGCTTCAATGCACAAGGAATTAATATGAACACAGCTCAACTCACACAATAATTATCACTATGAATCTGAACGAAATGAATATACTCCAAACTGGTAAGATTAAACACAGTCATGACAGTGCACTTTCACTGATACACTTCCACAATATAACAACTTGCAACACCAGCAAGTATACACCTTGTACTTTCATTGTACAATAACTTATTATATAAGTTTCACTTTATAACACAATCACTATTACAAATATTCACATGTAAATTCAAACACTATTTATATCCTTTTGAATCACTAAATTCACTCTACTTACCAGTTGGAATATATAATCCGTGAAGTTTACCCTTCAATGGTCAACATAAAACTGACAGCTTTCTGATGATGGAAGTGTTTAACAACCTTGATTGGATTTACATCCCTCGCACGATCGGTTCACTGTCTTGAGCTGGTTTATATACTACCATATGGATCAGTCCATTATACTTAAAGGGGTGAACCTCAAGACTATACCAACTGTAGGGGTGTTTTAAAGTAACAGATGGTGCTCCAACCATGGAGAAACTTATATACATATAGAAACACAATCAACAGGAAAAGACAACTGGTATTTCACAACAAAATAAATGAACTATGACCGATTTCCCTTACACTACTTCTTTTTTGAACTGACACAAAATAGCTTACCTACTGCAATCCCTTTTGATATCTTAGCACTGGTAGATTCATCTTCTTTAGTTTCCCCTTCTGATGGTATTACCTCCATTTCTTCAGGAGGTGCTGTGGGTTCTCTACATTCTGCGACTACCTCTTGGTCTTGCATTATTGTCATAGAAGATAAAACTGACTCAAAAGCATCTTTGTCCGTTAATGACATTGTGTCTGGTAACATTAAACCTACAGCTGATCCTATAAATAGAAATTTGTTTTTAAAGAAGAAAAATATGTAATTATAATATAAATGGAATTATCTACCATATGAAAGTCAATGAGAATTTCAGGTTAACTTCTGAAGTTATATATGTATATCACCTAATGTATTCTCTCAGTAATTTATTAAAGTGCATGATGTCATAGAATAATAGCCCTACACTATAAACTTCATCTTTTGTCCATGTTAACGTTGTCAGTATCTATTTTTTTTTTGTTTCATTTCAGACATAGTCTAGGTCATGATAGTCCATTTGCCAATTACCGATTTGATTCTGTTTAATATTACACACCTTTTGAACAAATTACTTCCCTTTGTCAATTGTAGACTGGTTCTATACTGGACAAAATTGGCTTTTGCCAATGCAAAGCATGATCAATTGAAAGTGATGTATCGGCGGTTTAACTAATTTTTCATGAAAAATAATTTCTGATGTCAAAAGTATTTAGCTTAACAACAAATTAATGTAATAAAAAGATTTGAAAAACTTAATGGTTACTCACATTATGGCTCAGGTAAATTTGCTCTTTCTGCTAGCTCTCCATTGTAAATAAAAATTAATGTCCCTCATAAGGGAGACAACTAAAAAAGGGATCCCTAAATACAGGATCAATTACGGGAATTGGCAAATAGATTATTCACCACATTTTTTCCCTTACTTTTTATAAAATGTGATGAATGTAATTGTTTGTAAATACAATAAATGTACATAAAAGGAGGTGTGGTATAGTAAATTTTGTAGAGGTCAACATATGAAATGTACATTTGACTTTCAGTTCTTCAAAGATGTCAACAATAGTCATATACATGATATCTTCCATAATATAAGATTACAACATGTACAAAGACCTGTTCTTAAAAGAAAGTACTATATGTATATAAACATTCATCTACAATTAATACACTTCTGGCAGAAATATTCTGGAAATCTTTCCATCTAGTCTGTGCAGTCCCTCATTTGCCAAATAAGTCAAATGATGGACTGGAGCTGTGCCGCCGGGGATGATGTTTTCCCTGGTACCGCCAAGGAAGCCAGATTGGTTCAGGCCAGATGAACGAAAAGCAAATGGGTACCCCCCCCTCCCCTTTTATTATTTTGCTTTATTATTATTTTTTTTTTTTTCTGTCATACTTTATACTTGCTTGTATATTTTTGGTTTATCTTACAAAATTACTCTATATCTTGCGCCCACCGGAAGCGTTGAGTATCGGTCAAGTTTGACAGTTCAACATACAATGTAGATGTAGAAATCTTATTATTTCTTGTACACTTTTCATGCAGTGAAAAATTCTCCTTTAGTTTACGTCATGTATTTTTCCCTCATCATATTTTCTGATTTTTAAATGCTACCTCAACAACAAGCAAAGAGACCTTTCTTTTTTTCTAATTATAGATACATTACAAAATATATAAAAGTGCTGCTGTTTTACATTTATAATGACATTTCATAAGAAATAATTACATTCAACTCTCTCTGTCTGAGTCTCTCATTGTCTCTCTTCAAAATGTACAAAAAGTATTTAAGAGTGTTATTGATATAAATAAAATGTTTTGGTTTTCATGTTTTCACATAGTAACATTAATATTTACCTGGTCTGTCTGTTGTATCAGGGAAGACATAAGCTCCATTAGTGGCCTTTAGAGCCGGAGAGGCCCCTGGCTGTAAGGGATACACCCAACTATTCACTTGTAAAAAGGCTGGAGGGCGCTGCCCTGTTCTAACAGTCGGTTCACTTATAAATTTAAATATTTTCAGTGAGCTTGGATATGAAGGAGCACTAACGTAACCTTCAGGTGTTATAAAGAAAATCTGGACACCATCAGGAATATTATATATCTCTGTAGCGTCAGCATCAAACACTTCTGACGATTCATCACTCATAATAGAATCTCCGAGGGACTGAAACGCTGTGTCACTGATTGATGACCCAGATTCTGACATCACGTCCTCGTATGACGGAGGTTGATTTAAATCCATAGGTGTAGTGGGATGTCTAGAATGTACATTTCTTTGGACTTCTATACTCTGAAGCCTATATTCTATCTGAAGTTTTGTTTTTGTCATTTTTTGTTGTAATAATTTAGCAGAGTCTTTTTTCTCTTCTGTAGCTTTGAGTTTCTCACAATCTATTGCCAGACCTTTGTCTAAGAACTGTAATCCAGCTCTGTATTGATTAACTGCTTCATCAAAGTTTTCACTTTCGTCTGCCGACAGACCTTTCTCTATATGTTTGTAAGCATTGTCATGGTAAGATTGTATTGTTTTAAAGTCAGTTTGATCTGCGTGATGGAGGGATGGAGGTCTAGGTGGGGGAACTCTATCACGAGGTCGAGCATCAGCACAAGTGGCCATATTGATGGTTTTTTTATCCTGGCAAAAAAAAAAGAAGAATGGCGAATTATGAATAATTTTCATCCAGTCAGTGTTGCTGGCATTAAACTTTAAACAATGTCAAAATTGTAGTTGCATTATATATATATATATATATATCAAATTAAATTTATACTGTAACAGTCAAATGCAAAAGGCTATGTAAAATGAAAAAAAAAACACATTTATTGTATATAAGACCCTTTAATCATGTTAATAATATAAATTTTTGTTTAGTTTATAATTTCTTTGAAATCCAGCTTTTCCAGTTAATCTTTCTGTAAATCTAATCATATGATATCAAGCCAAGTTAAATATATTAAATATATTATATTCAAATAGTAATTTCAACTCTCACCAGGGATTTTTTAAATACCGGCTGGGTCGTTAAATAACCTGGGTATTCCGAAAATGACCCCTTTTCACCCAGATTCTGGAGCCTTCAGACCAATTTCATACGTGATTTTCCTTTGAAATACCTGCATATTTGTTATTCTTTCTGGACAGACAGTTTAACAAGCTGTGTAAACTGTCAAATTAAATGACCCATTAGGTGAATGGCTTTACTTGACAGCTTTGGTGTTAAACACACTGTTAAATAACACCAATTACCTTAGCTTTAGGTCATAAATAATCTGTGTATTTCAAAGTTGTTTTACAAACAATTTGAGTTACTTCCCCTTTATCGTCACCTTTGACAATATACTCCTTATACTGGAATAAGTATTATAGTATATGTTCCTAATGGAATAAATGGTATACAATATTTGTTCCAACAGGAATAGAAATTATGACATTGTTTATATTAACAAAGTTTCCAGTGGAACTTCTGTTCGGAGGAACAAATATACGTTGACACGTCAAATTATTATGACTTAATCCCTTTTATGAGGGGTACATTTCAATTCAAGTGATAAAAAATATTTTCTAGTAAAAACCATTTTCCTGACTTATTAGTACAAATGAGCACATATTTATATTATTTGAAGAAACTTTTCCCAAAGAACTATACATCTATCTGGTATAATATGGTCAAAACTGAATTTAAACATGTCTAAGAATTTTGTAATATTCCTGGGCTTATATCTTCTTTATTATTAAAAATAATTGGATCCCTCTATTAGAAATATTGTTCAAAATATAATGAATTTTTGTAACAAAAAATTTGTTCCGGCGTGACATTTGCTCCACCGGAACAAATGTCATCAGTCAAGGATATAACTCTATAGGGTTATTAGAGAAAAATAACATATGTTTGTTATTGTGGACTAAAAAATCAAAGACCTGTGATAACATATGTATGTTACATGTTTCAAAGGGACAATACACATCATTAGTTTTGTTAAAATGTATACAGGTTCTATTGATATTGCTATTGTCTTTATGTATACTTAACTATAGAAAGATATAACAGTTCATATTTTGACAATCATGCATAGTACACCTATGTTATTACAGAAAAAACTGGCCTGTTATAACTAAAGGGTGTTATTACAGCTTCTCTATATCACTCCAAAGCATTTGCTCAGACATACGTCATGTTTAATTACAATTTATTTTAATTCATTGTAAGAAATAATAACCAGAGCATGTAATGAGGTTCTGTGCAAGTTTCCCAGTAAATCCCAAGTGTCTCATATAATAAGTTGCATGCCTTTAATAACTAAGCCTTGTTATTACAGCTAAGTTTATCACTTAAAAGCCTTGTCTTATTGATTTACCATGGTTAATGATAAATGTATTAATTTAATTCAAAAATTAGTTATCAAGGCTATGCATTTAGTTTCTGCGGAAAGTTTCCAGAGTTCCCTAGCGCCCACTAAAAATTAAAATGTTGATGATTTATTTTACAAATAACAAACATATGTTATTACAGATTTAGAAAATTTTAGGTTTAAAGAGTAGACAACTCATAAAAATATCTGTAATAACACATGCAAGTTATTTCCTGTAATAACCCTATAGAGTTATATCCCTGACTGGTCATAGGAAATATGTTCCACCGGAATTTATATCACAGAAAATATGTTCCATCACTGTAAAATTTGTTCCGGAACTATTTTTTTTTACCAAATGTGAAATAAGTTCCAGAACAAAATTTACAGCTCCATGAGTTTTGTTCCAATGTTAAAAGTTTTAAAAAAGTGAAATAATGGGGTACATTTGCAATTGAAGGCATGACTGTAACTATAGGATGAAGAAAAGAAAAAAGGGCATCGGAAATGTATCATTTTTATGTTTTATGTGGTATTCCTTCGTGCTTCCTGTTAACTGTCATGGGTGTTCTAGTCAGTCATGTACTTATGTCATGGCACATGTACAGTTTCAAAAGAGTGTCTTTTGTTTCTTCATGGCTTTTAATATAATTGATCAGTCACTTTGTCCTTTTTAAATTAGTAAAAATGTTAATCTTTAACTATACTTGTTTATGCCCCATTTATGGGCATTATGTTTTCTGGTCTGTGTGTCCATTCGTTCGTTCGTTCGTTCGTCAGTCTGACCCGCTTCAGGTTAAAGTTTTTGGTCGAGGTAGTTTTTGATGAAGTTGAAGTCCAATCAACTTGAAACTTAGTACAGAGGTTCCCTATGATATGATCTTTCTAATTTTAATGCCAAATTAGTTTTTTTACCCCATTTCACGGTCCACTGAACATAAAAAATGACAGTGCGGATGGGGCATTTGTGTACTATGGACACATTCTTGTTTTCTGAATGATTTTTCTTATTCTACTCTTTTCTGGTTCTTAAGTGTCATTTTGATATTTTATTAAACATTTGCTATACTTCACAGGATCCAAATTAGATTTTACACTTTTTATTTATTACATTATCAATAGACGTATTTACACTTGTATGCAAATTTGTCCGCCATTACGTAAAATCACACAGGTTCCCGTAAACTTTGACATCATAATTCAAAATATCTGACGTCACAATTAAAAAGTGATTGTTGCCTGACGTCAAAAGGTGATTCAGAGTAGATCTAAGGTCATTCGGAGGCAAAATATAGCTAAATACCAAAAGTGTAAATACGTTTATATATAATACATGTTTTTATAACAGTACTTGAATGATAACTTTAAACTCACTGGTGACAAATGCTCAGTATATAAGATAACTTGTTTAACCAGTGGAACTTATTTCACCAGGTGAGGAACAAATCTCACAAACCCAGAACTTATTTCACCAGGTAAGGAACAAATCTCACAAACCCGGAACTTATTTCACTACGACACTAGGTACGGAACACATTTCACCAAATCCAGAACTTATTTCACCATGTAAAGTGTGGAACTTATTTTATAGGGATATCCCTCATTTGGGGGGTTGTTCCCAACTTATTTTATAGGGATATCCCTCATTTGGGGGGTTGTTCCCAACTTATTTATATGAAACTCTTGCCAGGTAAACCTTTTCAACAAACATTTTTTTAATCATTTATACATATTATATTAGACTGAAGATGGTATTTGACTTACAAGATAACAAAGTTCTTGTCACACTGACGAATGTCTCACTATCAAACTACTGTCTTGTGATATGACGTGAATGTAAATAAGATGTGTAAAAGTCAGGAGATCTGTGGTGATGTCAACAAAAGTTGGAAAACCCCTTTTCCAAATTTTGGGTTAGATATATAAAGAACAGGATTCTGCATGGTGCACAAAACATTAGAAAAGAAAACAGGATCCTGTTAAGATTGTTTCCCGTCGAAACCATTTGAAATACAACTAAAGTTTTAAAAAAAATAATTAAATAAAATACCTCAAAGAACAAATTAAATCAAATCAAATCAAATCAAATAAGTTTACAGCTGTCATTTACAATATAACCAATACCTGAGACTACTATAACACATGTGTTATAGTAGTCTCAGCCAATACCAATACCGTCAAGCATCAAACGGTCATTTTAGGCTACTGTTAGCGTCAAATTGATTAAATTTTTACCGTGATTCGTCAAAATATCCTAATCGTGATTCGTCAGAGGTCTCAAATAACCAGTATCCGCTTACCGTTATTTTTATGAAAAATTTATGTGATTCGTCAAAATCGTTCAAAAACTATAGACAAACAACACGAACCCCACCAAAAACTGGGGGTGATCTCAGGTGCTCCAGAAGGGTATGCAGACCCTGTCGTCCACATGTGGCACCCGCCGTGTTGCAAACCCGGTAATAAGTCTATATTTCGGTTGGTCACATTCGGGACGGGATTGTAGTTACGAGATTATGAACATATCCGTTATCATCTGTGAAACGGATATTCAATAACGGTCAACACTTACGAAGGGATGATTTCAACTTCAACACTTGAAACTCTTGGTTTATTAGCTTTCTTTTTAGTAGCAACACTCTATCAAGGAAATCATGATAGGAAATACAACCCCAAGAATATCGTATCAACATAGAGATATATACTTTGTATGCAGGCGCTGCATGCTGGAAATCCCGAATGTTGCTACATAGAAATGGAAATGGAAAGTTCACAATTGGGAAGCTGAAATCATTTTTTTTATATACATTTATTGTTTTTATAGTATGTAAAAGAGAGGTGAAAGATAGATAACAAAGGAACATTCAAACTCACAATTCGAAAATAAACTGACAACCCCATAGGTAAAAAAAAAAAGAAGAAAAAAGACCAACAGACAAACAAAAGTACACAAAACAAAAGTTATAAACTTTCTTGTCGCTTATTTTTCTTCTTCTTGTCCCTAAGGGGACTTCCAGGGGCGGATCCAGGATTTTGGAAAGGGGGGGGGGGGGCGTAAAACATAAAATAAGAGTAAAATGCACATTTTTAGTGACGGTTCCTCACGTGGGGTATGTATATTTTATAGTTGAAGTGTAAGCTTAGGTTGGACATTTTTGATGCCGAATTCTCCCCATTAATTGTCTATTATAAAATGATTGAATGGATCTAAAGCTATGTACTAATATATTTGATGTGGGATTTGTCAATAAAAAATGGACATGGAAAATTCTCGTTTGTTGTATGGTTAGTTAGCATAACCTCACAGATTACTTGTTGTAAACATGATATACGGCTATTCAATGAAGTTTATAATGGTATTACGATCGACACGAACAAAGACAAACAAGCAATTTTTATCCAAATGTTTGGTTGAAATGTTTCACTCAACAAGGGAAGTGAGGGGTTCAAAATGAACCAAAGGCTACGAATGAGTCTGAAAATCAAATGACAACGAAGTTGTGAATGACGGTCGACAAATGGAGACATAAAGGCCACACCCAGCAGGCAGGTTGCAGTTGGGTCTTGAAAAAAGTATTCAGTATATCAGTTCGGCGAAACAGACATTCCGGTCAGATATTTACATGCAACACCCCCCCCCCCCTCCCCCCCAAAAAAAAAAAATTACGCCCGTTTTTTATTCACTTTGTTCATTTAATGCTGATTAATTCTGTTGTTTTTTTTTCTTATAGCAAAAAAGGGGACACGATAATTGTTTTCATTACAGATACGGCCAGAATTTTTGTTTTTTAAGGCAAAAATCAGGGTCAGAATTTTTTCTCTAAAATATCTCAGACTGCCCATTCAAATCAAATGGTCCGTACCTTAGACTTTAAATATATCTAGAGCTTACTGACTGGGGATCATTATTCAGCAATGTTATTAATTGGCTGGGGCGTGTGGGGTTAAATATATTTTTCGTAGGTAAATAATATTGTCGTGGAACTTTTTTTTTTCATGAGAGTGTAATAGAGTATTACTTTCTGTTGAGTAGAAATATGAAATAGAAGTCAATACGTTCTTGCTCAATCCTTTGTCGCTTTGAATTTGTCATGCTTGTCATCCTCCGCCTAAGCAATGTGTTACTGTAATTTGAATTTCAAAATGACTGAGTGACGTTTCAAACGTACTGATCAACTCCACCGTAGCGAAACACATGACTGACATAATCAATAATATATTACAGTAAATACGAGCGAAAAATATCTTTATAAGTAAAGAATTGTCGCATAAAAATTAAATACACGACCGGGAAATGGCAAAGTTCACGAAGTCTAGTCTGATTCATCATTTTACAAAAAAAAAAAGGTTCAAGCAAAGGGGGGGGGGAGGGCGTATGCCCTCTACGCCCCCCCTCTGGATCCGCCACTGACTTCTGTGGACTTAGTAGTCAATCTACAGTATCACTAGCCAGTCAACACTGAGGTTGTGAGTTCGAATACCGCACGTGGAAGGTGCGCTCGACTCCAATCAAAGTTTAATTGACTAGGAATGGATCCTAATTTTCCTACGGAAGGTCGGACCCTCTTCCTCCACCAATAAACACTGACCACACGAAATAAAACATTCTCTCACCTAAACTAAATGTTCCTATTGTTTTTATAATAAAAAATATATATAAAAAATGTAAATTAGAATTAAAAAAAAATGTAAATTTCATACATAAGAGAAAAAATAAAATTAACTCAAAACAACCTCATGCAGGCATGCGCCGGAAATTAATCGTCAAAAGGTTGATGGTTTTCCGTAAATAAAGAAGAAAGAAGAAGTACTTTAGTGTTGAAAGTGGCGTTAAAAACAATCAATCAATCATGTCTTTAATCAGAGACATATAATACGTATTATATGTCTCTGCTTTAAATAAGTGAGCCCGCTGGTAATTCTTTGACAGAGCAAATTAGCCATCGATCTACAGTTTTCCTACATTTATAATGTGATGAGCAGTGAAGAACAACGAAAAGAAGTATTAATGATTTTAAAGATATTTATAGGATATAAGCGCATGAGATAATTATCATTGTTGTTCGGTCACGAGTTGAATATTTTTCGATATTTGAACTCTTTGATTAGTTATACTTTTTATTACATTGGCAAATGGCTTTTTTCTTCATGAAATTATAATAGAAAATATAAGGAACGATATCTTATTCTACGCATTCACAATTTGTTTTGATCCGACGTAACAGCTCTAGACGTCTTGACAACGCCTATTGTTGTATGACGTCAGAGGTTTTTATTTCACTGCGAAATCAATGTAATTTATTGCAACCAATGTAATAAAAATATATAATTCTATGTTTATAATAATATTTTTTTTCCACACAATTAACGTTAATATATCAATGTTGTTGAATCAGCATCCCTAGAGCAAGGTGCCCGAAAAAGCAGAGTCTTCTAAACGTTTAAGTTACACGATAAAGCTTACAAAGCATTTTACTAACCATGATTAGTGTATTTGGAAGGTTTCTTACCTTTTCTTTCACTACATTATGCTTTATCAACAAACCACAAGGAAATACTCCCACAGTATCAGCAGTGTCCGTGAGAAAGATGGACTTGCGAAGGGACTGGAGGCTTTGGATACGTCCTTTTATTATCTTCCTCTATTTCATTTTGGCTCTGTTTGTGGCACTTCCCTTGTGTATCATAGAACTGAACAGAGCTGATAAACCAACCCATGTACAAGCCTGGTTTGCCTCTGGTATCTTTGTACTCTGTGCGTTACCTATTTCATTATTTGGAATGTTACAACATCTTGTAAACTATACACAGCCAAATCTCCAGCGTCACATCATTAGGTAACTTTTTTTGTGTCACAAAATAAAATTTACGTACTATAATTTATACATCAGATACAGATACATCAAATAAATACACAATTAGTCCTGAATATGTATGTAACATTTGCTTCTAAATCAGACAATCAGTTTAAACATACATTTTGTCAGTTCACTGATTGAGATTTAGAAGGGAAATGGTTTAGATTTCAAAATCTTGCTTAAAACTACTGCATATTCATTTGCCTGTCGGAGGTGGATTTAGGCGGTGGCCCAGGTAGACGACCCGCTTTTTGTTAGAAAAATTTGGTTGATTATTTAGTAAATCACTGAAGCATGGCTGGAGTGTGCCCCCTCTTAGGCAGTCTGTAGGTTCCTACTTGTGAAAATTCTGTCTGTCTGTCTGTCTGTCTGTCTGTCCGCCGTCCGTCCGTCTGTCTGTCAGGCAAATAAATTTTCCACACCTTTTTTCTTCATCGAATGATGTTCTGGTCTGATGATTTTGTTCAGAGTTATGGTCCTTTGACTTAGAAATTTCACTAATTTAATCAGTTTCCGCACTTTTTTTTGTCATTCTTGAAGATATTGATTTGATTATTGGTACATTGTTGGTATAAAGGTTATCATGACAAGTTACAGTTCAAGTTTGAACTTTGTTCTGGTCTGATAATTTTGGTCCTTGGACATAGAAAATTCACTTAAATAATCAGTTTTCAACACTTTTTTTCGTCATGCTTGAAGATATTGACTTGATATTTGTTATATATGTATAGTTTACGACAAGTTATAGATCAAGTTAGAATTTTGTTCCAATACAATGAATTTTTAGTGAAAGGACTATGTATTGCCATGCAATACTCACAGAATGCTTGTTCATACAAGAAGACACCTTTGACCATGTTGACAATGTTTGAAATTGCAGAAATGTGTTCTGATTGAAAACAAGTATATATATAAGTAAAGTTTTACTTTTGTTATTTGAGAGAACAGTGTCATCATACTGTGGATTCTATTATTTTCGTGGGTACCAATTTTCGTGGATTGAGGAAAACTTACATGTTCGTGGATATTAATTTCGTGGTTTTTCCGAAGTATGCATACAAGCCTATGGAAAATTTGGTATTAGTTAAACATTTAATTTCGTGGTTCACCTGTTCCCACCAAATCCACGAAAATTGGTATCCAATGAATAATAATGAATCCACAGTATGACATGTATTTAAAAAAAAAAAAATCTGAAAGTCTAAGGGACATACAAGTAAACAAAACTTCATGACTTCTATAAGTATCTTTTAAATTTACTTATATAAGTATATTAATATTTACTTCTTCAAGTAAACAACAATTACTTGTACAAGTAGTACCCCTGACTGACAGCAAATGTATGTTTATTATGATTGTTAGGTATAATTTACATTCTACACAATATACAGATATGATTTAACATGTTAATTAAGCAAAACTTTTTACTAATTTATGCATAACTCATTTATTTTGTCAACATGGTAACCTTTTATATTTTTTTCCTTCAGAATCTTGTGGATGGTGCCAATTTATGGAGTAAATGCAGTAAGTTGTGATTTTAATTGCTCAATTTTTTAAATGAAAAAAAAAGAGAAATATATGTATTTTATATGAGCATATAAAATATGAAAACACCAATGTGAAAGAAAAAGAGAAGTACTGTTTATGTCAATGAGACAGAAACCCAATGACATAAAAAACCAAAAGATGTCTAGAGGTGAATATACAGTCATGATAGACAAGTGTAAAGGAAATGCTAACACTATAATCTGACGCCCTGAGTTTAGAAATGGTAGTCTGTTCACATTACATGTCATACATCCTGTACATGATGTATCTAAAGTTGTTTTTAAAACTAATAAATATAAAAACAATATAAGAATTAGTTTTGCATTGTAATGCTCTATTTTTATTACTGTTGCTATTTTGATTTCAACATGCCACCAATTGTGATGTCACATACTTGTTTTATTATACACCAGATATACTGTCATGACTGTATGATATAGACATGATAGACACAAAAAGAAAACAAATATAACACTTTTATTAGAATGGTTTCCTTCTCCTTTCAATCATGCTGCCATATAACATGTATAATTAGACTTGAAAAGAGACATTTGATAATTTTATTTGACTTTTTAAAACGGTTATTTGTCCCTTTATATCTTGCTTTACATCATTTATATTTAGACAAACAATGAGGAATGTAATAACATTGATTTCCCTTTTATTACAGTGGTTTGCCCTTCGTTTCCCGCATGCTGTCATATATTTAGACAAACAAAGAGGAATGTAATAACATTGATTTAACTTGCATTATCGTGGTTTGCCCTTCATTTCCCACATGCTGCCATATATGTAGACGAACAACGAGGAATGTAATAGCATTGATTTCACTTTTATTACAGTGGATTGCCCTTCATTTCCCGCATGCTGCCATATATGTAGACGAACAACGAGGAATGTAATAGCATTGATTTCACTTTTATTATAGTGGGTTGCCTTCATTTCCTGCATGCTGCCATATATTTAGACGAACAATGAGGAATGTAATAACAGTGATTTCCCTTTTATTACAGTGGTTTGCCCTTTATTTCTTGCATGCTGCCATATATTTAGACAAACTATGAGGAATGTATTAACATTAGTTTCACTTTTATTACAGTGGATTGCCCTTCATTTCCCCCATGCTGCTATATATTTGGACAAACAAAGAGGAATGTAATAACATTGGTTTCCCTTTTATTACAGTGGTTTGCCCTTTATTTCTTGCATGCTGCCATATATTTAGACAAACTATGAGGAATGTATTAACATTAGTTTCACTTTTATTACAGTGGATTGCCCTTCATTTCCCCCATGCTGCTATATATTTGGACAAACAAAGAGGAATGTAATAATATTGATTAAACTTTTATTACAGTGGTTTGCCCTTCGTTTCCCACATGCTGCCATTTATTTAGACGAACAATGAGGAATGTAATAGCATTGATTTCCTTTTATTACAGTGGTTTGCCCATCGTTCCCCCCATGCTGCAATATATTAAGACAAACAACGAGGAATGTAATAACATTGATTTAACTTTTATTACAGTGGTTTGCCCTTCGTTTCCCACATGCTGCCATATATTTAGACACTATCAGAGAATGTTATGAAGCCTATGTGATCTATAACTTCATGGCTTACCTCTTACAATACCTCAATAATCAACATCAACTAGAACACTTTGAACAGAAAGATCCAGTCACACATATCTGTCCTCTGTGCTGTATACGGCCATGGAGAATAAACAGGTATGGTTAGCTCATTGTTATATAAAGATCCAGTCACACATATCTGTCCTCTGTGCTGTATACGGCCATGGAGAATAAACAGGTATGGTTAGCTCATTGTTATATAAAGATCCAGTCACACATATCTGTCCTCTATGCTGTATACGGCCATGGAAAATAAACAGGTATGGTTAGCTCATTGTTATATAAAGATCCAGTCACACATATCTGTCCTCTGTGCTGTATACGGCCATGGAGAATAAACAGGTATGGTTAGCTCATTGTTATATAAAGATCCAGTCACACATATCTGTCCTCTATGCTGTATACGGCCATGGAAAATAAACAGGTATGGTTAGCTCATTGTTATATAAAGATCCAGTCACACATATCTGTCCTCTGTACTGTATACGGCCATGGAGAATAAACAGGTATGGTTAGCTCATTGTTATATAAAGATCCAGTCACACATATCTGTCCTCTGTGCTGTATACGGCCATGGAGAATAAACAGGTATGGTTAGCTCATTGTTATATAAAGATCCAGTCACACATATCTGTCCTCTGTGCTGTATACGGCCATGGAGAATAAACAGGTATGGTTAGCTCATTGTTATATAAAGATCCAGTCAAACATATCTGTCCTCTGTGCTGTATACCACCATGGAGAATAAACAGGTATGGTTAGCTCATTGTTATATAAAGATGCAGTCAAGCATATCTGTCCTCTGTGCTGTATACGGCCATGGAGAATAAACAGGTATGGTTAGCTCATTGTTATATAAAGATCCAGTCTAACATATCTGTCCTCTGTGCTGTATACGCCCATGGAGAATAAACAGGTATGGTTAGCTCATTGTTATATAAAGATCCAGTCACACATATCTGTCCTCTGTGCTGTATACCATCATGGAGAATAAACAGGTATGGTTAGCTCATTGTTATATAAAGATCCAGTCACACATATCTGTCCTCTGTGCTGTATACGGCCATGGAGAATAAACAGGTATGGTTAGCTCATTGTTATATAAAGATCCAGTCACACATATCTGTCCTCTGTGCTGTATACGGCCATGGAGAATAAACAGGTATGGTTAGCTCATTGTTATATAAAGATCCAGTCACACATATCTGTCTTCTGTGCTGTATACAGCCATGGAGAATAAACAGGTATGGTTAGCTCATTGTTATATAAAGATCCAGTCAAACATATCTGTCCTCTGTACTGTTTACCATCATGGAATATAAATAGATACGGTTAGCTCATTGTTATATAAAGATCCAGTCAAACATATCTGTCCTCTGTACTGTATACGGCCATGGAGAATAAACAGGTATGGTTAGCTCATTGTTATATAAAGATCCAGTCAAACATATCTGTCCTCTGTGCTGTATACAGCCATGGAGAATTAACAGGTATGGTTAGCTCATTGTTATATAAAGATCTAGTCAAACATATCTGTCCTCTGTGCTGTATACAGCCATGGAGAATAAACAGGTATGGTTAGCTCATTGTTATATAAAGATCCAGTCAAACATATCTGTCCTCTGTGCTGTATACGGCCATGGAGAATAAACAGGTATGGTTAGCTCATTGTTATATAAAGATCTAGTCAAACATATCTGTCCTCTGTGCTGTATACCACCATGGAGAATAAACAGGTATGGTTAGCTCATTGTTATATAAAGATCCAGTCAAACATATCTGTCCTCTGTGCTGTATACAGCCATGGAGAATAAACAGGTATGGTTAGCTCATTGTTATATAAAGATCCAGTCAAACATATCTGTCCTCTGTGCTGTATACCACCATGGAGAATAAACCGGTATGGTTAGCTCATTGTTATATAAAAATCCAGTCAAACATATCTGTCCTCTGTGCTGTATACGGCCATGGAAAATAAACAGGTATGGTTAGCTCATTGTTATATAAAGATCCAGTCAAACATATCTGTCCTCTGTGCTGTATACGGCCATGGAATATAAACTGGTATGGTTAGCTCATTGTTATATAAAATATAAAGATCCAGTGAAAGTTATCTGTCCTCGGTGCTGTTTACCACCATGGAAAATAAACAGGTATGGTATTGTTATTGTATCCAATATCTTCTTTTGAAAATACATGTAGAATGGTACGGGTAGCTCTTTGATAAGTTATTGAACATTAAGATCAAGTAGACATGTCTGTCCTCTGTGCTGATTACCTCTTAAAAATTAAACATTCATGTCTCTAGATATCATTTTATTTTTGTGCTAACAGGTTATTTATTTAAGAAAACGAAGAGGTATATATCAATGAGACAACTCTTCACAAGGTTTCTTTATTGGATTTATGCTTAAGTGAATTCATAGATATGGTTAATAGGTTTTATCATGTTTATGTTATATGTTTACTAATTTCATGGTTTTGCATTTATTGGGGCTATAAAGAGTTCAATTATTAACCCAAGCAAAGCCTTGGATTATGAAATATAATGTATCCTTATCTAAGCCTAAGTGCTTCGAGGGTTAATAAGTTTTATAGCAGATTATATTCTTTAGGCAAGTTATTTGAAGACCTCATGTCTCATTGACATATATATCCCACATCTTCATTGATTCATAATATTGTCTAGTATTAAGAAGATGTGGTATGAGTGGATTGAGTGCCAATGAGACAACTCTCCATCCAAGTCACACTGTATAAAAAGTTAACAATTATAGGTCAAAGACTCAAAGTATAGCCTTCAACACAGAGCCTAGTATTATCAAAATCAAATTAAATACATTGATTTTTTCCAATGTGCCTTCTCTACAGAGGTGGATAAAATACATGGTGCTTTGTGGAAAGGAGATTGGATGGCTCCTTACTATAATATTAATATCTGACTATAAACATTGACCTGTATATCTTACAGAGGTCACATGGATCTTTGAAGTAATGAATGGAAAGATCTTTTATCACCTTTTAACAATGACTCTTTTGTTTCTGAAAATTTATGCAGAGATGTGAAGTTGGATTACTTCATCTTACTTTAGAAAACATCTGACGTCTATAATAATATCTGACCTCTGATTTTTTACCTCTCTTTTTCAGAAATTTTATACAGAGATGTAAGCATGGAGCTCTACAATATACTATAATTAGACCTCTAACTACAATTGTTGCCTTGTAAGTAAAGTATACTGAAATAGATGGATATAGCATTTAAACAAATATAAACATGATCAATTTTTGATAAATACTAGTCTTACCAGCTACAACTGTAGCGATCAATTTCACCAACAAATACTCTTAAATCATGAACATATCAGTATAACTTGAGATCAAGTTTTGTCTAAATATTTCGTGTCCTTGTTTAGTAAATATGGCAGCAGAAACAAGTCTGTGTTGTACATTATTACATCAGTAAAAAACTATTTGCATTTGTCACATGACAGCAGTTTGTATTTGACATGTTTGAAGAACAATTGAATCAAGAAAACCATTACCATTCCTCATTTTAGAATCATAGCCTCCATTTTGAATTGATTTTCACAGAGAGTGATGGTTATTAAAATGTAACAAACATATTACATGACAACTTATAACATTTATTTTGAATTTTATTTACAAGGACGTTAACTTAAATGTAGAAAAATATTTGTTTTATTTCTAGAGCCTGTGAGATGGGAGGCAAATATCATGAGGGAGACTTTGATTTTAAGTCTGCCTGGTCATATCTCGTCATTATTAATAATATATCACAGATTGTAAGTAACTACAGGTTATATATAAATTAAGTTGCATAATAGGAATTTTCTAGTGTGTATAATCTTACTTACAAAAATCTACTTGTATACATTGTCTGTAACAATATATTCAATGCCATGTTCTGCCCTCAGGCAGAGTTGACCTTAGATAAGTTTGACTATTTATTTTTAGGTCCCTTTTCGTCATATAGTTCCTCACATACTCAATTACTTATGCATCCTTGTTTGTTTGGATTTGAGCGTTTCTGATGAAGGTTAATCAAGAAAAACACTATGAAAGAACACAATGTACAAAGTGTAATTTTCGTTTACAATTTTCTTTCATGATGTTATATGAGATGACAGCATCAGTTTATGATGCAGAGCATGGCTGGGAAATAATATTTTAGTTGTTTCAGAAAAATAGGGAGCTGTGGTATGATAAGCAGTGAGACAATGGTCAGACTTTTGAAGAATAAAGGACAAGACAGATAAAGAACAGACAGCTAAACTTTTGATCTGGAGCATACCTGGTTATTTAGGAAACATGTTTCTAGTGCAATAATACTGTTATCATTTATTTATATCATCCACAGGTTACAACAATGACCTATTTTAATAAATGTGAATTCATTTATTTTCATGGGTACCAATTTTTGTGGATTAGGGAAAAATTGTATATACATGGATATTTGATTTCTTGGTTTTACAAAAAATCTGTATACAATCTTATAGACAATTTGTTCTTCCTTAAACTTTTAAATTTGTGGTTCACCTGTATCCAACAAATCCACGAATATTGGTATCTCATGAATGATAATGAATTAACAGTAGTCTTAACTAGTTTAGGAAAATCAAAAGTTAAGAAAAGAGGTTTGTCTTGTCAGTCAGAATACCACATATCCAAATCATATGCAAGATAAATACCAATGAGGTAGCAATCCAACAATCTGACTTAATATAAATAAAATATTTGCCAAGAATTTCTGTAGTTTTTACAAAAAAAAAGGTTTAAATAAAGGACACCTGACTGAACTTCTATTTTGGGATTATAAGATAATGGCCTTTATCATAAGTTATTATCCAATAATATCAAATCAAGGAACTGATAGAAAATAACATTTTCAACATTTGAAACTGCACCGCAACTGAAAACAACAAATTATTTCCATTTATATGTTCCCATATGAGCCAAATTTTAAAGTATGATTTTTACTAAGTGCACATTCCCAAACCATTATTCTGCTTGTACACAGTTTACCATTAAAAAAGGGATTATTTTTACTACTTGCATTTTCATATACAGTTATTCTACCTAAGTTTTTTTTAGCTCACCTGGCCCAAAAGGGCCAAGTGAGCTTTTCTCATCACTCGGCATCCATCGTTTGTTAACTTTTACAAAAATCTTCTCCTCTGAAACTACTGGGCCAAATTAAACCAAACTTGGCCTAAATTATTCTTAGGGTATCTACTTTAAAAAAAATGTATCCGATGACCCCGCCCATCAACCAAGATGGCTGCCATGGCTAAAAATAGAACATGGGGGTAAAACACAGTTTTTGGCTTATATCTCTGAAACTAAAGCATTTAGAGCAAATCTGACATGAGATAAACATGTTCACCAGGTCAAGATCTATCTGCCCTGAAATTTTCCGACGCATCAAACTACCTATTGCTGGGTTGCTGCCCCTGAATATTGGTAATTTTAAGGAAATTTTAGTTTTTGGTTTTTATCTTGAATATTATAATAGATAGAAATAAACTGTAACAGCAAAGTAAGATCTACAAATAAATCAACATGACTAAAATTGTCAATTGACCCCATAAGGAGTAATTGCCCTTTAAAGTCAATTTTTCACAATTTTTCGTAAATTTTTGTTATCTTTTACAAAAATCTTCTCCCCTTAATCTACTAAATTAGAAAAATAGAATTAAACTTAGCCACAATTTTCAATAGGGTATCTTGATTTAGAAATGTATCCGATGACCCTGCCATTCAACCAACATGGCCGCCATGGCTAAAAATAGAACATAGGGGTTTACAATAGAAGTCTATGGGAAAATTGTAAAACAATTTCAAATAATCACAACTTGAAAACTAATTTAAATAATGATAAGGGGTCTTCAGTTACTATTGTAAGACTACAATGGGATCACCTGCTTTTAATTTAACTACTGGGCCAAATTAAACCAAACTTGGTCTCAATCGTTATTGGGGTATCTAATACTATTTATTATGATTTTAACCTTATTTTACATGATTTCCAAAACCACAGTTTTATTTTTCAGATTGCTATGTATAGTTTGGCTTTGTTTTATAAAGCAATGAAAGCAGATTAAGTTTTATTTTTCAGATAGCTATGTATAGTTTGGTATTGTTTTATAAAGCAATGAAAACAGAACTAGCACCAATTAATCCAGTTCCTAAATTTCTGTGTGTTAAATTTGTTGTCTTCTTCTGTTTTTGGTAAGTAGAAAGAATAGATAGATAAAAACATAAAAGTCAATGAAACAACAAAACCAACAAATCTTTTTCTAGAAAAAAAACTTTTTACCGAATTCATTTTTTTTTGTTGAACATCCCTGTCTGGTGCTCTCTGGCATTGCCTCTTAACAGAATGATGCATGTATCATCATCTTAGATAAGAGATATGTCATCAGCAAACAGAGCTGAGCAAGTTTTTGTCGACTTCAGTAGCTGTAATGCCACTTAATGAACACAAGTAAATATTTAAAATATATCAGGTATGCAGATAAGTTTCAGGGAGCCTCTAGTTTCAGTTTGGGGTTTAAATGGGTTTTCACATTTTTTATGCCCCTGCCGTTTTGGAGGGGGCATTAAATATTATTCTTGTCTGTCTGTACGTTTTCTAACTTAAGTTTGTCTCGAGCAAATGTTATGACACTTATTTACACAATGCTTACTACCAAAAAACACAAATCAAGTTTGAATTTAGGTGGCTTCACTTTTACCTTTCTAGAGTTATGCCCCTTTACCATGGAAAAATTGTTTGAATTTTTCGTTTCCATTCTCTAAAGTAAGTTTGCCTCAATAACACAATGCTTATTACCACAAAACACAGATGAAGCTTGAATTTTGGTGGCGTCACTTTTACCGTTCTTAAGTTATGTCCCTTTATTACATTATATGCAAAAGGGGGGGGGGGCATCATCTGTGTCCCATGGACATATTCCCTATCTATTTTTGAATTTTTAATACACAAAGGTAATAGAAAAGAAACTGCATAGGAGCCTTTAATTTAATTTAAAAACTAGTTACAGCCACATACAGTCAATGACAGTCAAAACATTATAAATATAAAACAATAAAGAAAAAAAAGTAAAGCATCAAAATATTTGGGAATCAAAAACTTATTAAAGTATAATCAAATGTGGGGTTAACCTAGGGATTTCTTTTGCTTTTATATTATAGACATTTCACTGTCAATGAAGAACTATATTTTAGAATTCTGATTATTAATCTTTTTCAGGCAATCCCTAGCTATTGCAATTCTAGTCAAGCTAGATGTTATACCAAGTGGAGGGACATGGGACTTCTATCAAAGTATCACTGATGTAGCAACAGGCTTACAGGTATCTTTAGTAATTAAATATAGTGGTGTGAAAAGTCAGTGATAGGGCAATCTGAATTCACAAGTAAACAAAATCAATTGATTGATTGATTGTTGTTTTCTTCAGTTTAGTGGCAAATACTTCATGCATTTTCAGGATAAAAACAAAACAGACATTAAATAATTTTCCATTCACTGTTTTGTACATAATCTGGCTGTAAGTTTCTTGTTTTACATTTGTCATTCTGGGATTTTTTATTATGCCCCATGCAGGGGCATTATGTTATCCGGTCTGTGCGCCCGTTTGTTCCTCCATCCCTCTGTCCCTCTTCAGGTTAACGTTTTTTGTCAAGGTAGTTTTTGATGAAGTTGATGTCCAATCATATTGGAATTTAGTACACGTGTTCCTTATGATATGATCTTTCTAAGATTATGCCAAATTAGAGTTTTGACCCCAATTGCACAGTCCACTAAACATAGAAAATGATAGTGCCCGCTTCAGGTTAAAATTTTTGGTCAAGGTAGTTTTTGATGAAGTTGAAGTCCAATCAACTTGAAACTTAGTACACATGTTCCCTATGTTATGATCTTTCTAATTTTATTGCCAAAATTTAGAGTTTTGAATCCATTTTCACAGTCCACTGAACATGAAAAATGATAATGCGAGTTGGGCATCCATGAACTATGGACAAATTCTTGTTATAATATTGAAAGTATCAATTCAATGGCAAGAATAGAAAACCACTGGATACACTGCCTGATGGAAATTATCAACAGATAAAGGATCTGTTACACAGATGATAGCAGATATGTTCCTAATGTTGTAACTACAATCTAGTCCCTTCTCAGTAAAGTACCCAACCAAATTAGACTAACTACAGCTAGGGTTTGTTTTAACATGAGCAACACGACAGGTGCCACATGTTGAGCAGGATCTGTTTACCCTTCCGGAGCACATTAGGACACCCCAAGTTTTTTGTGGGTTTTGTGTTGCTTAGTCTTTATTTCTTTATTGTGTTTTGTGTACTATTGTTTGTCTGTTGGTATTTTTCTTTTTTAGCCATGGTGTTTATTTTCGACATATGAGTTCGAATGTCTCTCTGGTATCTTTGGCCTCTCTTTATAGATTATCCAGATGAGATGTTGCTTTGAAATACCATAGATTATCTGTTTATAGCCATTTTCTTAGGCAATGCCAATGTTTTTTTATGATATGGCATTCTCACTCTGCTGAACTGAGAAAAATACATGACCGCAGAGCTCCAGATAAGAATTCACAAATTGGGGTTTTTACCCACCATTTTTTTATGTAATTGGGTGATAAAGTTTTTTAATTGCATTATCAATTCCAATTCACCCCTCAAGCAAATATCAAATTGGGTTTTTCACCACCAAGCTCCTTAATGTATTGGGTTTTTTCATCAACACAATATTGAATATTTAGGCATGTTATAATCACATTATATCAACCCCAGATGTGTTTCCATCTTAAATGTGTTTCTTTCTTTGTAGAATATGTGCTAGCCGTTTTATTTGGTTTATTCACTGACGAGCAATTGTACATTTAATTTGTGTCCCGTTTTAAACGTTCTGTCAGTTTTGTATTTTCTCAAAACTTATGTAAACTGCAGCTGGTGTCACTAGTTGGACAGGAACTAATTGCCTTTCTAGATCCCATATGATCAACCTACAGTTTAATTATAGTTGGGGTAGGTGTGGCTAAGTGTTTAGATTTTTGTGTAATATATGTGAAATTTAGGTGCTGTAAGAAAGTTTTGCCAGTCCTTTCACCTATTTGCCAGATCTACTTTTTAATAAAAATAAAAAAGTAGTTTCCAGATTTAAGATATACCCCAAAACCTCGAGGTTTATAGGGTGGTTTATAATGACGGAGACCACATTCAACTTAAATTTACAAATAATTCTGCAACATCAAGTAAATAAATGACAATGTTATACTGCACTTGCCAATAAGACAACTATCTTAAGCATCTAGAACAATTAGACCAAAACAAAGAAAGTGTCAAGCTGCATTGACGTAAAAAAACGGATATGTGTATACACCTTATCGCTATTTGTCCGCCATTACTGGACATCACAAAAGTTCCCGTAAAATGTTGACGTCATAATAGAAAATATCTGACGCCACAATGGAAAAGTGATTGTTGTATGACGTCAAAAGTTCAAGCGGGACAGATTATCGGGTCAAGCGGGAATAGCGATAAGGTGTATTCACTCATCAACTAAAATGAAAAAAATAATATATAAACTGTTTTCGTTTAATTCAATTTACATAAATCTGGGTTAAGTTGTCCCTTATCAGAACTTTTGGTTTCCGATGCTTTCAAACTACATATCATGTCATAATTGATTTGGCCTTTCACTTTTTCCAACTGATTTCGTTTTTGACGGAACCCCGTGTTTATCGCTCTAGCAATGTTCTCGTTATGGTACGCAAACACGCCCGTGCGTTCAATGGCCGCTTCCTAAAATCACTAGCTGAGTCTTGTTATCATCATAACTTTCCCTCAGCTATCAAAAAGAAGCCGAAAACATGCTTCTATTCAATATTTTTACCGGACATTTACTTTCGTTTTAATTCATTGTATGTTGTGATAAATCCCGAGCAATTCGAAAAAAAATGACAGCATGTCACACGCTAATTGGATAAACGCCGAGAAGATCGAAATCTTTTCATAAACACGTGTACCTTTTGAGCAACGGAAAAATTCCAACAGGGACCCATTACAGCTACTTGATGCAGGGCTCTATTTTTAGAACGAAAGGACATTTCCAATTATAAATATTATAAAAATAGATTTACGCGAAGACTGTAATCAAGTAAGGGTAAATAACGCAAACGATAGCGAATAAAAGCGTTAAAAACCCATGTTTTTGGCATATAATTGGGTTTTCCTTTGAATTAATTAGGTTATTGAACCCTGCAATGGGCAATTGCATTGGGTTTTTAATTATTTTTATTGCGTGATCACGCAAATACGCAGCTTATCTGGAGCTCCAGTGCCTGTGGTGTCAGATAAAAAATGAACATTCATAAGGATCGAAGGAAAAATGTGTAAATTATTTCCACAGATTTCGTTCAAATAATTTATAATGTACAAAATCTAGAAATGTTGGTGAGTTGGGACTTTTAGCATATCTGAAAAAAAGGAGATATGGAGATATATGTCATTGAGATAGCAACCCAAGACTGCATTAACATTAGAAAACACTTTAACAATTCAAAGTCTTCAAAATAGACTTGTCTTCTGATGCATGTGGATATCTATGTCATGTATGATAATGTACTGTAGATTCATTTATTTTCGTGGGGACCAATTTTTATACGACCGCAAAAAAATTTTGCGGTCGTATATTGGTATGACGTTGGCGTCGTCGTCGTCGTCGTCGTCATCGGGCGTCGTCCGAAGACACATTGGTTTTCGTACTCTAACTTTAGTTTAAGTGAATGGATCTCTATGAAATTTTACCATAAGGTTCAATACCACAAAAGGAAGGTTGGGATTGATTTTGGGGGTTATGGTACCAACAGTTAAGGAGTTAGGGGCCAAAAAGGTGAGCTTTTCTCATCACTTGGCGTCCGTCGTCCGTCGTCGTCGTCGTCCGTCGTTGTTAGCTTTTTCAGACAAATCTTACGATCTGTTGGGTTGCTGCCCCTGAGTTAGTAATTTTACAAAAATTTTGCAGTTTTTTGTTATTATCTTAGATATCATTATAATATCTAATATCTAATTCTATTAATTATGATTTTAACCTTATTTTACATGATTTCTAAAGCATCAGTAAATGCAGGTGAGCGACACAGGCTCTTGAGAGCCTCTAGTTGTAACTTCCAGACATAACTTGTGTTTTAGTGTATGGATCTCTCTGACATTGTACTACAAGGTTCCATATCACAAAGGGAAAGCTGGAATTGAGTTTAGGGGTAATTGCCCAAAACGTTTAGGAATATGGGGCCAAAAAGGGGCCAAAAGTAAGCATTTTTCTAGTTTCCAGACAATAACTTGTGTTCAAGTGTATGGATCTCTCTGAAATTGTACTGCAAGGTACCATACCACAAAGGGAAGGCTGGGATTGAGTTTGGGGGTGATGAATCATAAGGGGGTTCAAAAAATTTTGGGGGGGGGGGGTTTTTTCCTTTTTTTTCTTTTTTTCCTTTTTTTTTTCTTTTAAAATTTTCCATTTTAAGTTGGTTATTTCTGTTTTATATTTAAAAGCAAATAATAATGATATGATAGGAGATACACACCAAACAGGTTAAATTATTATATAATAAGTATTGTGCAATAGCAAGAAATTTTCAATTGCACAGTATTGCACAATAGCAAGAAATCTTCAATTGCACAGTATTGCGCAATAGCAAGAAATCTTCAATTGCACAGTATTGTGCAATAGCAAGAAATATCCAGTAGCACAATATTGCGCAATAGCAAGAAATTGTCAATTGTACAGTATTGCGCAATAGCAAGAAATATTCAATTGCACAGTATTGTGCAAAAGAAGATACTTCGTATAAATTGCTTATTTCTTGACCAATTTCAATGGGGTTGTATTCTTGAATTCTTGGGGTTCTTTAATATGCTGATTCTAACCATGTATTAAGTTATTGGATTTTGGGCTGTATATAAATTGGTCCACATTGAGGTCCAATGGGTCCAAAACTAAACTTTGTTTGATTTCATCAAAAATTGAATTATTGGGGTTCTTTGATATGCCAAATCTAACCGTGTATTTAGATTCTTAATTTTTGGTTCCGTTTTCTAATTGGTCTACATTAAGGTCCAAAAGGGTCCAAAATTAAACTTAGTTTGATTTTAACAAAAATTGAATTCTTAGGGTTCTTTGATATGCTGAATCTAAACATGTATTAAGATTTTTGATTATGGGCCCAGTTTTCAAGTTGGTCCAAATTGGGATCCAAAATTAAAATTTGTTTGATTTCAACAAAAATTGAATATATGGGGTTCTTTGATATGCTGAATCTAACCATGTATTTAGATTTTTGATTTTTGGGCCCCATTATCAACTTTGTCCACATTGAGGTCAAAAGGGTCCAAAATTAAACTTTGTTTGATTTCATCAAAAATTGAATTCTTGGGGTTCTTTGATATGCTGAATCTAACCATGTATTTAGATTTTGGATATTGGACCATAATAGGTGAATGTCCAATTTAAAATTTTTAAGTTCTTAGACCACATTCATTCTGTGTCAGAAACCTATGCTGTGTCAAATATTTAATCACAATCCAAATTCAGAGCTGTATCAAGCTTGACTGTTGTGTCCATACCTGCCCCAACTGTTCAGGGTTCGACCTCTGCGGTCGTATCAAGCTGCGCCCTGCGGAGCATTTTATTGTGGATTGAAGGACTATTTTCACTGGATATATTAAAATGCGTGGTATTGCCAAAGTCTGCATACAAACTTTTAGATGTTTATACGCCGCTTTAATTATACCCCCGCTTTAAAAAAGTGGGGGTATACTGTTTTACCTCTGTCTGTCCATCCATCCGTCAGTCCCTCCGTTTGTCCCATGAATATTTTCATTGCATTTTTCTCAAGAACTACAATACAAGGATTTCTGAAATTTGGTTTCAGGGTTTAAATAAGTCAGCTATACTGTGTGATGCGTTTTCAGATTCATCACTCAACAACGTCCTATTTACCGAACACTTGTATCATTTTACACATGATAGCCATGTTGAAAATTTTCGGCGCATTTTTCTAAGGAACATCTTGACAAGGATTTCTGAAATTTGGTTTTAGGGTTTATATAAGTCAGCTATACTGTGTGATGCATTTTCAGATTCATCACTCAACAACTTCCTGTTTACAGTACACTTGTATCATTTTACACATGATAGCCAAGTTGAAAATTTTCGTCACAATTTTTCTCAGGCCAGGGTTTTTTTTAATTTGTTGGTTTACAGATTTTTCACATGAAAAAGTCATGTTGGTCGGTGGGAAAAAAAAATAAAATAAAATATCTTTCAAGACAGAAAAATATGTAAAAAGTAAATAAATATATTTCACCTCACTAACAATATGTTTGGTATGCTATTTTGTCATCATTTCTTAAATTCTAGTTCCATGAAATGTTATTGCTCAGCTGTCATAAACATAAAATGCATGCCATCGTCTTACAACAAAAAGGGAGGTATGTTCTCGGACAAAGACGAAATTAAATCGTTTTTTTCCCCCAAAAAAAGAAAAAACAGATCCTTGTAGCTTTTCATCAATTTCAGGAAACTTGGTGAATAATAATCTTCAAGCACGAAAACTAATAAATAAAAGTTGTAAACACGTCGTACGAAAATAAGCTTTACCATTCGTGTCAAAAACGTAATAGACTCGTCCACTGGATAGACGATGATATAGGATTCATCAGTTGTCATGCATTCCTGTTTTTTATATCCAAATGAACGAATATTTTTTTACTATCTATGAAACAAAAAAAATCCAAATTGTTTGTGAATATCTAATACTTTCACTTGGTGTCTTTCATGTTTGGACATGTCCATTTCATCTATAGGTGAGATGATACATCTTACAGAATTATGACAAAAAAGGGAAACAAACTTATTGTAATGGGTTTTAAACACAGGTTTGGCTCCACAATATTATTTGTGCAAACAACATTTGAAGGTCAGTTCTATTTTTAGATACGTAAATATACAGATTATTTTCGATTTCTTTTTTTTCCACAACACAATGTGTTATCAATTCTGTTAGTGTTTATGCATTTCATTCCATAAAAATTTTTTTTTAATTTATTTTCCATGGAGAATGTATTTGTTAGGGTTGGCGGTAATAAAAAAAGCATGAAATGTCAATTTTGTTTTTATTCTGCAAATCGGAAAAATAGGGTCGGCAATTTAAAAAACCCTGGCCTCAGGAACTACAATACAAGGATTTCTGAAATTTGGTTTCAGGGTTTATATAAGTCAGCTATACAGTGTGATGTGTTTTCAGATTCATCACTCAACAGCTTCCTGTTTACCAAAATATTTCGGCGGTTGTATCATCAGTGAGCTGTAGCTCGCAGTTTTACTTGTTTGTACTTTACTGAACACCTAAATTGGGGGGTCCTATAACCACAAAAAAAAAAAATTGGTATCCAACGAATATTGATGAGTTCACAGTATCATAATGAAAGGATTAGAATAGTTTTGTCAGCACTTTCATTTTCTTTCCAGGTGTTCATTATCTTTGTAGAAAAGTTGATAACAGTATTGTCAGTACTTTGATTTTATTTTCCAGGATTTAATTATCTGTTTAGAAATGTTGATAACACTATTGTCAGTACTTTAATTTTCTTTTCCAGGATTTTATTATCTGTGTTGAAATGTTTATAGCAGCCATTGCTCATTACTACTCATTTTCCCACAAACCATTCATTGTGACCGAGGAGAATTCACACCAGTCTAACTGCTGTGAAGCCTTCCTGTCCATGTGGGATGTCTCAGACATGAGAGATGACGTGTTGGAACATGCTAAAATAATAAGTAAGTCCTGACAGGACTGCATAGTTCTACCAAATACCAGCTGTCTAATTATTGTACCAATTATTATTAAGATTTGCTTATGACATAAATAACAAGCATTTTTAGCTCACCTGGCCCAAAGGGCCAAGTGAGCTTTTCTCATCACTTGGCGTCTGTCATCTGTAGTCCTTCGTTGTATGTTGTTTTCTGTCGTTAACTTTTACAAAAATCTTCTCCACTGAAACTACAGGGCCAAATTTAACCAAACTTGGCCACAATCATCATTCAGGTATTTAGTTAAAAAATTGTGTCTGATGACCCCGCCTGCTAACCATCATGGCCGACATGGCTAAAAATAGAACATTGGGGGAAAATGCAGTTATTGGCTTATATCTTTGAATCCAAATCAATAAGTGCAAATTTGACAATAGGTTAAATTGTTCATCAGGTTAAGATCTATCTGTCCGGAATTTTTCAGACGAATCAGACAATAGGTTGTTGGGTTGCTGCCCCTGAATTGGTAATTTTAAGGAAATTTTGCAGTTTTTGGTTATTATCTTCAATATTATTATAGATAGAGATCAACTGTAAACAGCAATAATGTTCAGCAATTTAAGATATACAAATAAGTCAAACATGACCAAAATGGTCAATTGACCTCATAAGGAGTTATTGCCCTTTAAATTCAATTTTTTTCATAAATTTTTGTAATCTTTTACAAAAGTCTTCTTCTCTGAAACAACTGAGACAAATTTAACCAAACTTGGCCACAATCATCATTAGGGTATTTAGTTTAAAAAATGTGACCAATGACACTGCTTGCCAACCAACATGGCAGACATGGCTTAAAATAGAACATAGGGGTAAAATGCAGTTTTTGGCTTATATCTCTGAAACTAAAGCAAAAGTTTAACGGTTTCATTATTTCATGCATCAATTGTAAATAAAGATATCAGGTGAGCGACACAGGCTCCTTAGAGCCTCTAGTTGTTTATACTGTTCGCCCATTTTTGTCTTCATTTTAATGGCGTTTACACAGTTTTTGTCAATTTTACTCCTTTGTATCATCTTGAGTTTTAAAAGCAAGTAAAAAAAAGAAAGGCCAAAAAGTGTTGTAACGATTATGTTAAATATTTGTTGTGCTGCTTTGATTTAGAAAATATTATTGTCTATGAGATCAATTTATCTGTAAAATTTTTAAACAACCTGCATGATCTGATAAATAGATTCAGAGTTGCGCAAAAAGTTTGATGAATGATATGTTCAATCACATTTTTATGTCTACGGGATCCCAGTTCTCTTAAAACTTAAAAGAAGTTTTACTTTTTGTGACATTTATATTTTATCATTTGTATTAGGCATTACAGAAATGTGGGGAAATGAACACTTTTTAGCACTTTTCTTTATCGAAGGGCTACAAAATATTTTGAAATTAATGCAGGATTTACAGAATGAGTACAGACAATTGATTCTTAGTTTGAATTCTATCCCGGTTTGTGTTAATGTTGTGGATTTTTTACAAGATGGTTGTTGTTGGTTACACTTGTGATGTGATACATGTACAGACACGGAAACCAGGCGTAACAATCATACTATAGCCTGCTGTCATTGCATAATAAAGGGAATGTATGTCCAGGTGTCAACCAGATGGAGTCCAAGCGTAATTGAGGCAGAAACAAGGCTTGAAATTAGGCGTAATATTTAAGTAACAGATTTTTGTTGTTTCCAATATTTTATAATTTGTCTGTTGTGTTCTATAATATTTTCTTTGACATTTTAGGTAAAGCAGTAAAGAAAACAGTGAGTAAATCAAGAATAAAAACAAATGATACAGAACGAACACCATTAATAAGAGACAGTCAGACTAACTATACATCAGATGGGGGTCCCAGTGACTGGGATACAGCTTCCCTAGAACAAAGGGAAATAACCCATAAAAAATCAGTTCCTACTGAATCAATGAATAATTACATAGTGTTTGGTTCCAGTTCAGAAACTAATTATAGCAACGATACTCAGACAGATGTAAGGGTAAGACAGAAAGATCATGTGACTTGTGATAAACAGGAAGTGGAAAATGTTAGACCAATAGAAAGATGTGATACAAAAGAAGTTAGTGTATCATCCAATCAGGAAGAAAGTAACAAAAGTGATAATATACAAACAGAACAAACTGAAGGGTTAATTGAAGTAGAGGTACATAGCAATATAGATAACGACAGAACAATAGATACAGACCAGACAGGCTCTATACAGGTTGATGTCTCAACTGGACATGCTGATAACACACCTGTTGTATAATGTCTCATTGTTACTATAAGTCTTATGTATTGATAATAGTATGGTAACTACAGTATACAAATTAAGATTGTATATAATTGCCAAAAACCTTTATAAGTTAACTTATGTTTATGTTGTTATTTTAGAATATTGTGACAGTAGCAACACTTTATTCAAAATATATCTAATTATATGTTTTGTATTTGTTTTTAGTGCCATAGCTACTTAATATCAGTGCTTTATATACAAATCTGCATAATTGCCAACATTTTTAATTATGTCTTTCAATTTCATTGTTGTTTAATGTAATGATTTATTTTGTAATAATAACAATTTTACCATTATCCAAAGGTTCATGTCTGTGCAGCTGTTGTGATAGCAAATCTAAAGTAATATGACATATTTATTTTCTTTGAAATTGCTGCACCAATTGGAAAAAATTAAATTTAGAATATTTTTTGGTTAAGACTTAACCTACTATTTTTGGATTGGACCATAAAACACACTCATGTATTAAGACAGCAAATAAAAATGTTTCCTAAATTTCTTTAGTATTAACAGATGTTATAATAGTTTTCATTACAAGTGTTCAAAACTTCAGGTGTATTCTAAAAAAAATGTCAATATCAACATACATTGGCTAATTTATAGGAAAAATCTATCTCATCATCAAATGATCATCTTTGCAACAAGGAGTGCCTTATTGTATTGATTTTAGTTCGCTAACTTCTTTAAATACTTCAATTGTGTAAAAATATAAGATATATAATGCATGCAAAACATTTAAATGTTTACTGTATCTTTTTATACAACAAAAATTGTGTATGTATTGATAAATGTTAAGTTTAAAGTTATTGTAAATAAGTTGATCTCATACAATAATATTGGTGAAGAAAATAATAAAAAGAAAAGCAATGAAAACTTTTCAGATGAAGGTTTAGAGAAAATTACGTCATGATGAACACCCAGTAGCAGAGTAACTGTTTATACTGTCTGAAATTTTAAATGAATTGATGTTTTAGAAAGTAATAATAATAATAATAATGACTTTATTTAAAGAGGGTGACTCAATTAGCATTCACTTATCTACCCTGAGGCCCTCACAAAAACATACAGAACAAGTATTACAGATATTACAATTTTTTAACATATAACTAAACTTTCATGCTAGATGATTGTCTGTAGAAAAAAAACCAAACAAATAATACATTATACACAAACATTAAAAAGACATGATACAGTTAAAGAGTTGTTACATATTATTTATCGTTAAGAAATCTACACATTTTCTTTTAAAAGTATCTAGATTTTCACATAGTTTTATTTCATTTGGTAGTTTATTCCAAAGTATTGAGGAGCTTTGTGTGAATGATTTTTTCATAGAATTTGTATTAGGCCTCACTACAGCTAGATTATTATTTGCAGAAGATCTTAAATGTCTATAGGTTTATAATTAGACAACATAGTTCTGTAAGGTAATTAGTTGCTTTATTATTGAGAATTTTATGAACAAGAATCAATTTATGAATTTAAGAAATCCTAGATTTGAAATTGAACCATTTCAACTCTTTGAATAAATTTATAGTAGGTTTTAGTAGTGTCAATCTCTGTATTTACATCTTAGCTTTATAGAGGCTAGCTTGCATTGGAAATACACACTCTTTCTGAGCTCCATCTTTTTAGGGAATGCATAATTCATATTAGTCACAATTATTTAAAAAAAATTGATGAATTGTTGATATACACATCCCTCTATTTATTTTTTACAAAATATAATAAAAAATGGCCTTTATCTATATACTCATTTGTAGACTGTTGAATTTATAGACTCCCAGGGTAAAAATAAAAAGAAGAAAATGTGGTATAATTGCTAATGAGACAGCACTCCACCAGAAACCAAATGACCTAAAATTTCACAACTATAGGTCACTGTACAGCCTTCAACAATGAATAAAACCCATACCACATAGTCAGCTATAAAAGGACTCGAAATGACAAATGTTAAACAATTCAAACTAGAAAACTAAAGGCCTGATTTATATACAATACAATAAATGAAAAAAAATTATGATATACAGCAACAAACTACAACCACTGAATTACAGGCTCCAGACTTGGGAAAGTATATATAAAAAACTTGTCAAAACTTGTACTAAATGTTATCATCGATACAAGGACATCATTTGTTCATTCGTACTACATATAAATCAAAGTGCAGACATCTTATATGTTCAGGTTTTTTTTTACATCACATCTTTAATAAAACAATATTCTTTACAAAGCACAAACATGATGTCATTCACCTCAAAAGCCAACCAAACCTTTAAACAGACTTATTCAGAAGGGATATATTTGTGATACTGTTATCAAGTCATTAAAGATGGCATTTTTGGGTTAAGATGCATGAAATGCAATCAAAACCCTATGATACTGACTTGATATCTAAATATTCCAAGGTTTATCACCACTTATGAGATGCACAAAATATAGTGCACTGATCATAACATTCTACTGATGTTCAGTAGTTGTCGTTTGTTGATGTGGTTCATAAGTGTTTCTCGTTTCTCGTTTTTTATATAAATTAGATCGTTGGTTTTCCCGTTTGAATGGTTTTACACTAGTCATTTTTGGAGCCCTTTATAGCTTGCTGTTCGGTGTGAGCCAAGGCTCCGTGTTGAAGGCCATACCTTGACCTATAATGGTTTACTTTTACAATTTGTGACTTGGATGGAGATTTGTCTCATTGGCACTCATACTACATCTTCTTATATCATTAAACATCCTATCCATGAACATTTCCAGAAATGTATCAATGAAATATATGCTCAGATTTTCAAGTTACAAAATTATGTTATACTTATCAAGAAAATTACATAACTTGTGCAAGGTGCAGGAATCTAATATATGTTCTAAAAATATAAATGATGTCATTGTTAAAGTAATCTTTAAAATTGGAGTGATCTTCCTTAGTCCATAAATTGTAGTTGAATCAACTACAACCAGCCAGAGAAACACATGACCTTGTGCAATGACAAAATATAAGCGAATAGTATCAACAGGATGTAGGATAATTATTTCTCATAACTGTTCATAAATAGCAAGATATATTTAGTTGTGTTTTAATTTTTATGCCCCACCTAGGGGCATTATGTTGTCAGTCTATGCGTCTATCCGTTTGTCCGTCTGTCCCGCTTCAGGTTAAAGTTTTTGGTCAAGGTAGTTTTTGTCGAGCCTGCAACTTCTGTCGCAGAAAGCTCGACATAGAGATAGTGATCCAGCGGCTGTGGCGTTAGCTAACTTCTTAAAAGCTTTATATTTTAGAAGGTGGAAGACCTGGATGCTTCATACTTTTTATATAGATGCCTTAATTATGTTATGAAGTTTCGGTCTGTCATATGTCCATTGTCCTTGACCTCATTTTCATGGTTCAGTGACTACTTGAAAAAAAAGTTAAGATTTTTTTTATGTTAATTTCTTATGAGTAATAGGATAACTATATTTAGTATCTGCATACCTCACAAGTCCTCATGCCTGTCAAACAGTTTTCATTTGATCTCGACCTCATTTCATGAATCAGTGAACAAGGTTAAGTTTCCCTGGTCAAGTCCATATATCAGATACTATACAGCAATAGGTCTACTATATTTAGTGTATGGAATTATTGTCAGGTGTACATGTCCAACTGGCAGATGTCATCTAACCTTGACCTCATTTTCATGGTTCAGTAGTCAAAGTTAAGTTTTTGAGTTTTGTTCTTTTTTTCTAATACTATATGCAATAGGTCAACTATATTTGGTGTATGGAAATATTTTATGATGTACATGTCTGTCTCGCAGGTTTTATTTGACCTTGACCTCATTTTCACGATTCATTGCTCAGTGTTAAGTTTTTGAGTTTTGGTCTGTTTTTCTTTAACTATAAGCAGTATGTCAACTATATTTGTTGTATGGAAAGATTGTAAGGTGTATATGTCTGTCTGGCAGGTATCTGACCTTGACATTATTTTCATGGTTCATTGGTCAATGTTAAGTTTTCATGGTTCATTGGTCAATGTTAAGTTTTCATGGTTAAGTTTGTTTCTTAGATACTATAAGCAATAGGTCAACTATATTTAATACATATATTGATTGTAAGGTGTACAGGTCTGTCTGGCATGGTTCATCTGACTTTGACCTAATTTTCAAGGTTCATTGGTCATGTTTAGTTGTCTTGGTTAAGTCTGTTTCTTAGAAACTATAAGCAATAGGTCAACTATATTTGGTGAATGGAGTGATTGTAAGTTGTACATGTATTTCTCGTTTGGTTTATCTCACTTTGACCTTTTCTTGGATCATGTTAAGTTTATGTGATACTTGTAGTAAAGCTTTATATTTAGGACTATCAACATAAAATTAATGGCTAGTAAAGAAGGCGAGACATTTCAGCGTGTGCACTCTTGTTGATGAAGTTGAAGTTCAATCAGCTTGAAAATTGGTAAACATGTTTCCTATATGATATGATGTTTATATTTTTAATGCCAAATTAGAGTTTTGATCCCAATTTCACGGTCCACTGAACATAGAAAATCCGTATGTCCCCCTTCTGGTTAAAGTTTTTGGTCAAGATAGTTTTTGATGAAGTTGAAGTCCAGACAACTTGAAACTTTCACAGTCCACTGAACATGGAAAATGATAGTGTGAGTGGGACATCGGTGTACTATGGAACACATTCTTGCTTCAGAAATAAAATCAATGTTAATACCAACAAAAATAATATTTAAAGATGTTTACTACTGTAAAATTGATAACCTTTCAAATTAAGTTTATTTAAAGGATCATTTAGTTTCCATAGATCATCTCTAATGTTCAGGCTTTATAAACACCAAAGCCTTAAAAATGAGAATGTTATATCCCATTTTTTCATAAGAACTCTAACGGTACTGCCAAACTTCCCAACCAAATCTTTGTATCTAAGAAAGAATTTGGTAAAGGTTTTAATTAGATTTGTTGTAACGAAATCCCTGACTTAATAATTTATCAGTTATACACAAATTATGTTCATTGAAATTCAAAACACGACTATAGACACAGGCATAGGGAACACACAAGTATATATACACCGTAAGGAGGAGCCAAAGGAACATCACCATCTCAAAAGGAAAAATTAACCATTGGAAACAAAAATTCGTCTCTTTTGTCGTAGTTTCCAGTGTTAAACTGAATATTAAATCAATTAACTGTAATTTATACAAACCTTTGGTCATAAACTGTGATTCATGACAATTCAAGAACAAATCTTCTATTAAGTACAGGTCCACCTTAAAATCATGCAATGAGTGATAAGTCCATGTTTTCAGATCCAACTGAAATTTTGCACACATGACCAGTATGGTGTGATAGTAAAAATTCAACATTTCATTTTGCATGTACTTTATTGTAGTTGCCATGATAATAGTTCATAACAATAACAATAATCAACTCATTTTAGTGTGGTAAAGATCCAATATAGCAATATTTGAAGATGAAATTCTGAAAATGTGTATTACAATAGAGGTGTGTTGTGTTTATTCATAGTTTATGACACTATGTATCATTAATTACCCAAAATATTTTTATTTTAAAATTTTAGCTTATATTTGAAATTTTGCTTGGAAACCATGGCAATTTGTGTAAGTAAAGGATTTTCAAATTTTGTCAAATTTTCCAATTTTTATTGAGGTAAAAGTAAACTTTCCAAAACAGCTTCTTAAATAATGATTGTGTGATGTTATACATATGGAATTGGTAAACTCAAAAAAATAAAATGAATTTGGATTGTGATCAAATTTTTGACATAATATAGGTTTCTGACACAAAAAAAGGTGGTCAAAGATCTTACAAATCTTTTGTGCTATACTGTGCAATTGAAGATTTCTTCTTGAAACTTTTCAAAAAATTTGAAATTTGAAAAATTTTGAAAAAAAATATGAACCCTTAAAAAAAGTAGAAAAAAAAAATCCCCCCCCCCAACTTTTTGAACCCCCCTTGGAGCAATTACCCCGAAACTCAATCCCAGCCTTTCCTTTATAGTATGGAACCTTGCAGTATAATTTTAGAGAGATCCATACACTTAAACACAAGTTATTGTCTGGAAACTACAAACATGCTTGTTTTTGGCCCTTTTTTTGCCCCTTATTCCTGCATGTTTGGGGCAATTACCCCAAAACTCAATCATAGCCTTCCCTTTGTGATATGGAACTTTGTGGTACAATGTCAGAGAGATTCATGCACTTTCACACAAGTTATTGTCTTGTTTTTGACCCCTTTTTGACCCTTAATTCCTAAACTTTTGGCACCATAACCCCCTAAATTAACCCCAACCTTCTACTTGTGGTATTAAACATTTCGGTACAATTTCAGAGCAATCGAAATACTTAAACACAAGTTATTATCCTGAAACTAGAAAAATGCTTGTTTTGGGCCCCTTTTGGGCCCCTAATTCCTAAACGGTTAGGACCATCATCCCCAAAATCAATCCCAACCTTCCTTTTATGGTTTGGAACCTTCTTAAAAAAATTCAGAGATCCATTCACTTAAACTTAAGTTATTGTCCGGAAACCAAATGTGTCTTCGGACG